GGACAGGAAAGCAAGCTCGTACTGGCGGTCCTCCAGAACGTCACTGCCGAGGGCAGGAGCACCCCCGACAAACGGAGAACAGGCAGGGTTAGAGACCAGAGTGGTGGCGTAGTCAGGGCGGCGGGTAGAGGCGAAGTCAATGACCGCAGCGACAAGAGCGTCGAGTCACAAGATCGGAATAGACGGGTCGGTAATGAGAGAGGCAAGGACCCAAGGAACAAGAGGACGAGCGGTGCGAAGGTAGTCAGACAGAGGGGAAGGCGCAACAACAAGGGAGGACGGAGGAGGCGATGGCAGGAGGGGAGGATGAGACGCGTGGGAACGAAGCAACATAGGGTGAGAGCTCGGGACAGGGGAGACGGGGCGAGCACGGGAGGGACAGCGAGACCAGACGTGAGACGGAGGAGTCGGGTCAGGAGACAGGGGAGGGGACACAACAGGGGAACGAGGGGGGAGACGAGCCGGAGTCGAGTCCGGGGGAGGGAACACAGGGCCGTAGACAGGAAGAGGAGAAGACGGCAGGAGAGGCGCAGACGCAGGGTCAGGGGATGGAAGGCCGAGCAGGCGAAGGGCTGACACTGGCGGTGACTGCTGCTGCGGCGCCACGGCACCGACTCCGGGACTGCAAGCTGCTCCGCGGCTACCTCCGGAACACTCCACTCCAGCACCCCCAGAAGGAACACCCCCAGAGCCCGACGCCCCTCGAGCACCGGTATCACCCCCGGGCCCGCCAGGACAAGCCACAATAGGAACCCCAGGACTTGTAGCCACCCCAACGCCAGCACCCCTAGAGTCAACGAACTGCTGCTGCGACGGCTGCGGCGGCGGTGGCTGCAACGACGGCTGCGGCGGTGGCGGCGGCGGGGACGGTGGCTGCGACAGCGGTGGCGATAGTGGCGGCAAAGCAGGAGACACCTAGGGAGGGGCAAGCGGCGAGGACTGCGCCACAGGGGCACCAGAGTCAGCAGACTCCTCGACAAGGACAACCAACATGAGGGGGGTGACGTGAGACACACCAGACAGGGCAGGACGGGGAGGGGGAGGGGGAGGGGCAGGGGCGACCGGGGAAGGGGTGACCAAGAACAGGGGGGGAGTAACCGAGGGACCTCGGTGGGGGAAGCGACGGTACAAGGAGACGGACTCGTCAAAGGTGACGTCGCGGGAGTGAAAGAACTGGTGAGACGGCAGGTGGTAGAAGTGCCAGTCAGAGGAGTCAAGGGGAAAACCGAGGAAGACACAGAGGAGGGTGCGGGCAGTGAGCTTGTCCGTGCCGGAGGCACGAACGTGAGCAAGGCAGCCCCAGACGTGGAACGCAGACGCGTCACCAGGAGACCCGGACCAAAGAAGGGTCGGCGAAACCTGCGGTTGCTGGGGGTGCGGCCACAGGTTATGCTGGTGAGCAGCCTAGCGAACGGCGAACGGCCACAGAAAATGGGGTGCACCGGCATGGATCATAGAGGTGCGAGCCACCTCCATGACCAAACCGATGCGTCGCTCAGCGACCCCATTCTGCTGCGGGGAGTCCGGCAAGGTGATGCCGTCCGCACGACAGAAACGACCAATGACACCAGAGGCAAACTCGCCATCACGGTCGGAGTGGAGACGCAAGACAGGGAGACCGTGGTGGACACGCGCAGAGACAAGCCACGGGATGAGAACGTCAGGCACGTCGGCCTTCCGCTCCAGGGGAAACACCGTGGTGTAGCGGGTGTAGTCGTCGACAAGCACTAGGAAGTAGCGCTCTCGACGCGGCCCATGGACGGGGGCGGGGCCCCATACGTCCATGTGCAGAGTCTGGAGTGGTGCGGCAATAGGGGGAAACGAGGAGGAGTGAGGGGCACGGCGGAGCCGGCCCTCGACACAGGGTGTGCACGGTGGTGCTGGGAAGGAGGGCAACTCGGGGAACGACCCTGGGAGACCTAGGACAAGACCGTGCTGGGACATGTGACGCAGACGTGGGAGCGTAGGGTGACCTAGACGGTGGTGCCACAGGAGTGTCGGGTGAGTGAGCGACCGACAGGAGCAGGCAGCAGCAACCTGGGTAGACGCAGCCACCTGAGGTGACGTCCCAATTGGGGGGGTCGCGGTGTCCAGTGTGAACAGTCCAGGCACCGAGTCCCGGGGGAACGTGGCGAGGGGGGCACCAGTGGCGGCCTCGGTACAGACAGTGTACCGCTCGTGACCAGGGAACGTAGTGGTGACGCCAAGGTCCTGGAGGCAGCCGACACCAACTAGGTTCCTGGAGAACGAGGGGATGTGCAGGCCTGTAAGAGAGCCCGAAGGAACCGCTGGACAGGGAAGGGTGGTGGAACTGCGGGCGACTACCGGGCCGGAGGAGGGGTCAGCAAGAGAAACTGCAGCAGGAGCAGGAAGCGGCGTCAGCGTAGTGGAGTCACGAAAGAAACACCGGGAAGCACCAGAGTATAAGGTGAAGGAGAGCGCAGTTGCGGCTGAAGTCGGAGCAGCGACGGAAGAACCAAGGCTAAACAAAGCAGGGGATCCTACGCCTGACGCAGCAGTGGAGGCACGACTAGACATGCCTACACTAGGCAACAAGGGGTAGTAAGAGGCAGTCACACTAGAGTCATCAGCATACATCACATGCAGGGCAGCAACAATCTCATCCATGTCCGTATCAAAGATCTGAACACTATTGGCGAAGCAAGCTGTGCCAGTCGGAGAGGTCGGGTGATGGGCCGAAGCGCTGACGAAACAGGTCGTCCAGGCGACGGAAACAGCGGACGGAGGTAAGATCGATCTTACCGCAAACGAAGCCACGTTGAGGACCGGTCTGGAGCTGGTACTGACAACGTCCGTCACCCGAACCGCCACCCGACAGCCCACCACGTGCACGACCACCACGTCCAGCGCCACCACCAGCGCCAGGCCACCCGAGCGGGAGACCACCCACCCGCCTCTGCTGCTGCGGCTGTTGCGGCTGGTGCGAGGGCTGCTGCTAGGGCTCGTGCGTGTCGGGTTGCGACACCTGCGGCTGCTGAGACGGCTGCTCGGCTGCACCTGTTAGGGTCCCCTCGTCAGCGCTACCACTAGGCAACCCGACTCCACCACCACCTCCACCTGCACCGCCACCCCCACCGCCGTGCCCACCCTTGGGGCAGCGGCCCTTCCCAGAACGGATATGCGCTGCAGCGGCAGACTCAGCCACAACAGCAGAACCGTCGAAGAAGGTGCACTGAAGGGGCACAACCCTGAAAGATAGGGACCGGCACAGTACCGCTGGTCTGGGCGATAGAGCGCTGGCGGGTCTCTATGGCAGACAGGGTGTCGACAAAATCAGTGAGGGTGAGGTCACCGGGTTGGATGCTAAGGAAGCGGTCGCGGGCAGTAGCAAGACAGTCAGGGAGGCGGGTGGCAAGCAGGTAGAGGGCAGAGCAGAGGGCCGGCTGAAAGGCTCTAAGCTGCATCTCAATGCAGGCAGCACGCCAAGTCGCATCTATCGTACGCAGGTGAGCAGCAAGGTCAGCGACAGTAGGGAAAGACGCAAGGTCAGGGAAAAGCATCGGTAGGATCAGGCGACCTACAGAGGCAGCAGGCGGGGTGGAATAGCGCTTGACCACGGCATCAAGGAATTCCTGTGCAGTCGTGACTGACCTAAAGTGGGGGCGCTCAGACAGGGGGAGGGCATGACTGATCGCAAGCTGCGCAACGGCGTCACGCGACAGCCAGACTGAGCGGGCAAGGGCAGCAGCTGCGGCGGACTCACGGTCAGCGGACGAGGGGTCAACAGGCAGGGGAGCAGGGGGTTCAGGGCAGGGGAGCGTACTGTCAAGGTGGACCTCCAGGGAGTGGCCGTCCTGCCGTTGACCAGTGAGATGACAGCGGAGGTCGACCAGCCACGTGTCAAACTCGAGCGGCTGACCCTCTGCGTCGAAGCGGAGCACGGAGTCCGCCATCAGGAGCGATGCAGTAGCGGTGCAGTGCTGTGCAGAGCGGTGCGGAGCAGTGCTGTGCGGTGCACAGCGGTGCAGTGCGGTGCAATGCGGTGCTGTGCGGTGCAGAGCGGTGCAGTGCAGTGCTGTGCGGTGCAGAGCGGTACAGTGCGGTGCAGTGCAGTGCTGTGCGGTGGAGGGCGGTGCAGTGCGGCGCAGAGCGGTGCAGTACAGTGCTGTGCGGTGCTGTGCGGTGCTGGAGGCTGGCGGCGGGCCGGCTGACAAGGAACGGGCACGGGGCCGACGAGGAGCGGGCGCAGGGCCGATCAGGAACGGGTGCGGGGGGCCCGGCAAGGAACGGGCACGGGGGCCAGCGAGGAACGGGGCGAGGGGCCGGCTAGGAAAGGGCGCGGAGGCCAGCGAGGACCGGGCGCTGGGGCGGCTAGGAACGGGTGCGCTGGGGCCAGCTGGAACGGGCGCGCAGGTCTAGTGAGGAGTGAGCGCAAGGGGCCGGCTAGAGCGGGTGCGAGGGCCGGCTGGAACGGGCGCTAGGGGGCGAGGGGCTGGATAGGACGGGCGCTGGGGGCCGGCGGAATCGGGCGCGGGGGCCAGCTGGAATGGGCGCTAGGAGGCGAGGGGCCGGCTAGAGCGGGCGCGAGGGGCCGGCTGGGACGGGCGCGCGGGCCGGCTAGGAACAGGCGCTAGGAGCCGGCTGGGGCGGACGCGCGGGCCGGCTAGGGACGGGCGCTAGGAGGCCGGCAGGAACGGGCGCGAGGGCTGGCTAGGACGGGCGCAAGGGGCCGGCAGAACGGGCGCAAGGGGCCGGCTAGGACGGGCGTGAGGGGCCGGCTAGGACGGGCGCGAGGGGCCGGCTAGGACGGGCGCGAGGGCCGGCTAGGACGGCCGCAAGGGGCCAGCTAGGACGGGCACGAGGGACCAGCTAGCCGCCGCTGGCACGAGGGGCCGTCGCCACTGCACACCTTTTAGATTCTTTTACCCACTAAGGTACAAACCTGTACAGTCGACAGTAGCTTACTAAGATACGTTTGACATCCACCCCCTGATTTTTCATGATTTTTTTTCTATACCCGGGGTGTTATATCCGGGGGATTACGGAAGGGTGCATGCTCTAAGACAGTACAACACACTAGTACAAACTACCGTAACCCTGTACCCTCTGTTCTAGTCAATTTTGTTACTCTGAGACACAGTTCATGCTGATGAAAATACGTTTGCATGTTGTGCTGGCTTTATAGTCTATACGCCTAGACCGTACAATGCCACTACGGTACTCCAAGTGTCTGATACGGGTCGGTACCAACGGCAGGGGATCCAGAGAAGAGGAGTATGACTTAAGAAGAGAAGGCGGCTGCGATAACAGTGATGTTGTACGAGCCTCCAGGATCCACAGTGGTGTTGAACTTGAGAGTGGCACCTGGCGGGATTATCGCGGAGTCGTCGGGTGCACCCAGGGGAGGGCGTACCTGCCAGGGGGGTTTGGCATAGTGGAGGTGAGAGACAGACTGGTGAGTGATGATAAGGTGGAGTGGGGTGAGAGAGAGGAGCGAGGGAGGGAGGGAGAGGGGGGAAGAGCGAGAGAGTGCGGGACAAAAAGAGGGGGAAAGGGAGGGAGGGAGGAAAGGAGCCCCCTTGACTGACTAACAAAGAAGTAAGACACAACGCAATGCCTACGATGCTCATCGCTGATTGCCGATGTGTGAAGCATGGCATGGAGGGCTCTTACCCTGAACTGAGAGTTCCTCCCATCTCTGTCTCTTCCAAGCAACTGCACCCGGGGCATGAGGAAGAATTGTTTGTAGATTCCGGCGATGTTGATGCTTAGACGAGAGATGGCGCGCTGCTGACACGTGTTGGTCAAGGAGACCAGAGAAGGGGTGGGAAGTGGGGAGGAGGGAGGAGGGCAACGGGAGAGGTGGTGAGGAAGGGATGTGGCGAGGAAGGGATGTAGCGAGGACAAGGGGTGGAAAGCAGAAGCAGAGAACAAAATGATGTGTCGATTAGGCAGGAGGTTGAAGGAGAGAGAAGATTAGAAGGGAGGGCAGGAAAAATGAGAGCAGGAGAAGGGAGAGGAACAGGAATGGGAGAGCTTTACGTAAAAAGGAAAGGATGGGCTGAAGTGATGCAATAGCCGACATTGATGGCAAGGTTGGGCTCCGGCTATAGGACAGATCTGGTGAAGAAACGAATATAAAGAATTAAGTACCAAACCGGTGGTGCTTGGTAAGTTTCAAGAAGGGCACAGGGCGGAGGGCAGAGGGCGAAGAGCGGAGGGAGAAGGACGACCTCACAAGGGTGCATGAGTTGCACATAAAAGTTGACGGGGAAGGTGACTTGGTCATAGTGGAATGTCGTCACCACCACTACTTTCTCGGTGCTGCCGTCTCTGCACTCTGCACGGCAGTGGGGTGGATATTGGGAGATGGGGGAACGGCGAGAGGGGGGACCCCGAGGTGTTGGCCAGTGGTGCAGTCCCCACATGCAGCTGCATACTGCTCTCCCACATGCTGCCACTGCCACCGCTGCCACTGCCACTGCTGCCATTGCCAGCGCTGCCGTCAACGGCAACTGCTCCCTCACTATCGTCATCATCATCATCATCAGCAGCAGCAGCAGCCACATTCTCAGCAACAGCAGCAACAGCAGCAGCAGCAGCAGCAGCAGCAGCAGCAGCAGCAGCAGCAGCAGCAGCAGCAGGGGCAGCAAGGACAGCAACAGAAGTGCTAGGGAGTTCTATGCCACTAGATCCTTGCTGCTCCCCTAACTCCCCCACTCTTGCTCTCTCCTCTTCACCCCCCCGTACCTCTTCACCCGCTCTCCCCCTCTTCACCCGTTCTCATTGTCCGTCTTACCCATTGCTGCCTCACCCCCACCCTCCCTTCTGTCCCCATTGCCTCTTCCCCAACATTCCCTCCCCCTGGGCCCCTGCTGCGCCCAAAGTTCCCCCCTCCACCCACTAACTCCCCCCGAGCTGGCCCTGCCTCACCCAAAGTTGCCGTCCCCGCCGTCCCCGCCAGCATCAGCACCACCACTAGAACGAGCCAACGCAGCGCGGGGGAACACGCGCGCTGAGAGAGCGCGCGCGCCATGGTCGAGGGGGAGAGCGTTCGGGGAGGCGCGGCTGGGATGGCGGAAGCCTGCGCGGAGCAGCGGGCGGGTGGGGATGCAATAGTGGAGGCGGCAAAATGAGTGGCGTGACTTCCGGAGTAGTTCAGAGTGGATAAGACGAACAACGTAAAAGCACAGGAAAGCTTTAGCGGCCGCACCTTCCGCCACCGCCGCTGCTACAAAATCTGTCGAAGCTATGTGAGAGTGGTTCGCCGCTGCACCGACGTCGACACGCAAAATGTCGGACAAAAGGCGAATCTCTGGGCGGAATAATGGGACGGATTTACATCCCGAGAAGATACTGGTCTCTTACTAAGTACCCAATATCTCGCGACAAACGCTGCACAGTCCTGACTAAGTCCGCAAACACATACTCAAGACCCGTATTGGTTGAATGTCTGGACATAGTCCACCGCTATGGACTTCGAACTGTGTGCCATCTAAGGAATTACGCTTCCTTACTGGGGCTTGCCAGAGCGAGTACACGCGAACCTCTCGGTTCCGCAGGCTCAGCCCTTGGTTCTCGCGCCAAACCAGCCCCCGTCGACCTTTTCGGCCCCAACCTGATCCCAAATCGCTCCGAACCCATTTTGACCCGTCACCCTCGGGACTACCAAGCCCTTGATTGGTCCAACCCTCGACATTCAAACTGGTCAACTCGCCCTATATATTGCATAGGCCTCATTTCTATTGACATTCTGTAATCACGCTCCCCTATAGTATTCTGCGCTATTTTCTGAGTTATAATTCATAACAGCTGGTATCAGAGCTACGTTCCTGTCCATTAGGCTTCATGTAGGGGAGCAGATCCTATCGGGGAAGGAGGCGGAAAGATGCTGATGGCAAGCGGACGTCGCGGAGATTAATTGCGCGGGTGTTGCTGATGCCGTCAGATCCTGTCCGATGGACGGCTAGGATTGGCCGATCTTTCCCTTCCCTGCTCGTATGCGGAATTATTTCCCGTCGAAGAGTGGGCGTCATTTTCGCCGTGTTTCTCGGGTATGTTCGTTAGAGCTTTCGGATTTTTCGGGTGTTCGGACGGAGTCTTCGGATTGGCTTAAAAAAAAAAAAAAAAAAAAACGAGGGCTTCGTTACGATGAGACAAGTGCACAGGAGTCCCCAGGCGGCCGGGAGTTGGTCATCAGGAGCGCACGGGGTGGCGAAAATGGCGGGATGTACGGCGATGTACGTCTGGCACGTCATGCAGCGGCAGGGTGAACTCTAGCTGTGTCGCGGGTCCCGGCGTTTCCGGCAGGCTAGTTGCAGGCGATGGACGGGACTTTAACACTATTTCGGCAATGGGCGGATCCGACAATTTCGGAACGACACGATCGTACGAGGACGTGTGGGTGTGCAGTTCTGTGGGAGCAGCTGGGATTAACGACCTCGGCGCTATTCACTACGACGGCCATTTGGAGGTGATGACGCTGTGCTGGAGTGAGTGTGCTCAGCGAGGGCGACTTCCCGCGTGGGGAGGCGTTTTTTCGTGGACTAGCAATTCATACCCCCACGATCAACGGAAAGGGAGGCCACCACCCTTGGGTGTGTATTAAGTGTTTTTCCACCGGTCGCCGAATGCATTAACTGTCAGGAGTTGAAGCAGTGGGAGAAGAACGACGGGAGTAGTGAAGCAGATGGGTTAGCGGCATACGGGCTGCTACTCGCTCAGCTACGTCGCCCAGAAATCACCATTCCCACCAGGTAGCAGTGTCGACTTATTAATCGACGGCTTATGGCTAAATAAGGGGGGTGAATCTACGAACTACACTGTGCTGATGGAGTGTCCCCGAAATTTTAGGAGTTGCTGTTGCAGTGGAGCTGAGGTTTTTTACCTAGTGCAGCAGACGGAGGTTCCAATTTTTTAGCGTATAGTTTGACGAGTTTCCGACGGAGGAGGGAGCTGTCCAGCGGTCATTAGGTGAGCTCGTTAAAGCTCCTCTGACTAGAAGCGTACGCACTCCTATCTCTGCGGATTCGCCTAGTTAGTTAAGCAGCAGCGAAGCGGTTCTTGGATAACCTGCAGCAGCCGCGAGATGGGTGAACGTCCGCACGGCCAGCTGGCAAGGGTACCAGAGTATTTTATAGAGTTGGGTAACAGCTGGGCGGAAATCGACGGAGTATGATGCGCATTGACCCTGATCGACGCCCAAAACATCATGCCGAGGCGGTGGACTTCGGTAAACCCTAATATAAAGGGTTCAGTTCATGAGTACAGCTGGTGAAGAAACCGTGGGGTTGCTGCTAAAGGACGCCGTGATGCCTGAGCATTTTTACGGGTAGCGTTGAAGCGGAGTTACGGTATTTGCTAAGTACCGAGTGGTTCCGACATTTTTGGTGGGTTTGAGGAGCAGTTCACGAGTTTACGGCTGGAGTTGTGCCCGCTATCTTCAAAGTACGAGCGACATTCGACCAACATTTGCGGAGTGTTTTGGTTGTATGGAGCAGAGGGAGAACAGTAGCAGTTTCGGTTCTTCCCGATTTTTTCGGCGTGTACTGACGAAGGAGCTGATGCAGCTGGCGTCATTTCGACCCCGGGGTTGCGTTCGAGGTTTTTCACTGGAACGGGATTTGTATCGGTTACTCTCCATTATCATCGTCGTCAGCCTCTCGCCATCTATCGCTACCGCCTCCATCGTTAATTCGCCTTATTCGCAAGACAGTGTGAACACGACCCCGCCTCGCCATCTGAATCGACAACATCAGTATCGGATTTACTGGAAATTTGGCAGTAGTACTGTTGGAGCTGTGTTGGGGCCAGCTCGCAAGCAGTGTTTGACTTCTGAAGATTTTTTGAGTTCGTGTGAGAGTCTTCTGGAGCAGTAGTTGCGGAATTTCAAGAAATTCAAAGCGGTTTCCCCTGAATACAATTTACCTGGAGCGAATTTTGAAGTCATCCTTATTCGCGTTTTTAGTGGCTGGAATTTATTCCAACGTTATCTTCGAAGCAGAATGATGGGGCTTTCAGCAGCAGTGTGGGATTATTTCGACTACCCTGGAGCATTCGGTTTTCTTGGAGTTTTACTTGGGAACTTGGGAGCTGTTTCTTCTTGGAGGGGGGAGAAGTGCAGCTGTGCTGCAATTTTCCGTCAAACCTTGCGACGCGTTCCATTATCCACTTTCGACCGACATTCGTTACCGTTACGCTTCCGCGCCTGATTTTGCCACTTCGTTGATGGAGTTCGCTGACTTTCGTGGGACACGGAAGCGTGCTCTCGCATGTGACTCGAACGACCTCGCGTTTGATGAACGGGTTCTACATTTTATCGACCATCACGTCATTTGACAGTCACCATGATCATACTGCAACGCGTCATCATTACCCACCCACGCGACAGTTAACTAATTCAACAGCATTAGTTATCTTCATCATTTCGTCACTTGGGAGTTTTCGTCATTGCCCATTCAGTCAGCTGAAGAAGTCGATTATCTTCAACGACTCCGATAGATTACGATTGCTGCGACATGTCTCAGCCGTTGGATGGAGTTTTACCTCTAGAAGTCTCGTCATCATTACGCTCATCAAGTTTCAACGATCAGGATCTACCGCGATCGTTTCGACGCTTTCTGATCACCGATTTCAGTTCGACCTGAAGACCTCGTCAGGCCGGCTTAATCATTACGCTCGTTACAGGGCTGAAGACTTACAGTCACATCGGGGATTACTTTTAATGACTGTTCGGCCTCGATAATGGGAGTGCCTTCCTTTAGAAGGTGGGAGAGTGTAAGGAATTACGATTCCTTACTAGGGCTCGCCACAGCGAGTTCACGCGAACCTTTCGGTTCCACAGGCTCGGCCCTTGGTTTTCGCGCCAAACCAGCCCCCGTCGACCTTTTCAGCCCCAACCTGATCCCGAGTCGCCCCGAACCCATTTTGACCCCATCACCCTTAGGACTATCGAGCCCTTGACTGGTCCAACCCTCGAAATTCAACCTGGTCAACTCGCCCTATATATTGCCTAGGCCTCATAATTCTGGAACATTGTGTAATCACGTTCCCCTATAGTATTCTGCGCTATAAACTGCGTTATAATTCATAACAAACAATTTTGTGTTTTAAGCTACGCGCGGTTGCTTTAAACCATTGGGTTTTAAGTTTTAAGTTTTGTTGATGCTCATAACCAGAGTGTACAGTATAGACTGTCAACTTATACATACATTTGCATGTAGAAGTTATAGGCTAGAATAGGTGTGTGTTCTTAGAGAGTACAACCCAAACCCTATATCTTCCTTGTTCTCTCTTCCTTCTATTCATTCTAGTATTCTAAGATGGTATCATGAGTAGGTTAGGTCCACCCACCCACTTTCGCCCTGCGCCCTAGCCTACCGCGCCTCGCCGACCCCTAGAGCGTCCGCCGGACTCACGCGCCCAGCCGGCCCCTCTCGTGCCTAGTCGGCCCCTCACACCTAGCCGGCCCCTCTCGTACAGTCACCGGCCCCTCGCACCTAGTTGGCCCCTCGCTCTTAGCCGGCCCTTCTTGCGCCATCGCCGGCCCCTCTCACCCAGCCGGCCCCTCGCGCCTAGCTGGCCCCTACCGCCTAGCCGGCCCCTCATGCGTACCGCCGGCCCCACGCGCCTTGCCGGCCCCTCTCTACGCGCCGGCCCTTCCCGCACCTGCCCGGCCTCTCGCACGCCTGGCCGGCCCCTCGTGCGCCTCGGCCCCTGGCGCGTCCGCTGGCTCCTCACGCGCCCCCCCGGCCCACTTGCGCCCTCCTTGGCCTTCTGCTCGTTCTCCGTTCCGGAGAGTCCTGCCGCCACGCTGCTGTATCTCCATGCAGCTGAGTATCTGTGTCCCTGTGCCGCTGTACCATTGTGTCCCTGTTCCGCTGTGCCGCTGTGTCTCGGTGCCACTGAGGTTGCAAGATGGCGGACACCATGCTCCGTCTGGACGCGGAGGACCACGCGATCCACTTCGCCGCCTGGCTTGTCGATCTTCACTGGCACCTGACAGGTCAGCGCCAGGATGGGCACTCCCTGGCTATGCATGTTGATGGCTTGCTTCTCCGCCCCCCCGCGCCTGATCCCCTCCCTGCTGACCCCACCACTACCGAGAGTGTCGCCTTTGCTGCTGCTGCACTCGCTCGTGCTGTCTGGGATTCTCGCGATGCTGTAGCGCAGGTTGCCATTAATCACGCGCTTCCCCTATCTGAGCGTCCCCGCTTTACTGCTGTAGCAAACGTCAAAGACTTTCTAGATGTAGTAGTTGCACGCTACTCCACGCCTACCTCCGCCTCAGCTGGACGCTTGATCCTCCCCATGCTCTTCCCCGATCTTTCTGCTTTCCCCACTGTCGCTGATCTCGTCACTCACCTCCGTGCACTGGAGACTAGCTACCACGCTGCTAGCACTACTGCCAGCTCACTGCCTTCCTCAGTCGAGCGGTGTTACGGCAGTCCCTATCTTTCAGGGCTGTGCTCCCTCCCAGTGCAAGTACGCTGACGTTTCTGCCACCATTGCTACGGCTGCTCCTGCCTCTGAGACCGCAGCGGCGGCCTTCCCGCAGCAGCATCGACAGCGTTGGGGCCATCGTGGCCCCAAGGGAGGAGGTGGTGGTGGTGCTGGTAGTGGTGGTGGTGGCGGCGATAGTGGTTCTGATGAGGGGACTGGGGCAGGTCTCCAGGACCAGCAGCACTTGCTTTGAGTCGAGCATGGGAGCTTAATTCCGGCGGGTACTGTATCTGGGAGAAAACGGTATGTTGTTTATACGGAAAATGGCATTTTACATACTCAAGCACCCGTACATTTCCCGTTGTTCTGGGCATGTTCTGGCCAATGTGGCACCAGGGCCTTGGGAATATCTTCCCTCTCTCGCTCCCTTCCCTCACACCACACCACACCACACCTCACCTCACCTCACCTCACCTCAACTCACCTTTTATGGGCCTCGGGAATATCTTCATCCCTACCTCGGTCCCCCCTTTTACAGGCATTTTCGATAGCAGGTGTATTCGTTTTAAGCCCGCGGCTCAGGTGTTTCAACTGACAGCAGTTTATTCTGGCTGTTTTTCGTAGCCACTGGCTCCCCCACCTTTTTCCCCCCCTCCATTTTCCGCATCCACTCCCGCTCCACATCGACGGTCGCACATCGCCTGTCGCTTAGCATCGACGGCTGCTAAGCACCGTTAGCCGATTCTAACCGAATCTCTTCCATCTCCACCATTTCACCGCATCCCCATCCTCCTCTTCGCATAATCTACGCCTCTCCGCATTCGACGCTTCTACCCTCATTCTAGTCACACCTGTCATGCTCCACGCCATGGCGACTCCACAAACCGTTTTCCGCCTCGCTTTCTCCCGCGCGTCCCCCGGATCCGCCTCCGAGATCGCCGGAACCGCGATCCGATGCTTCGCCGCGAAGGCCGGAGGCGAGAAGGCGGCGGCGGGAGGCGCCGAGAAGCCGAAGGCGACGCGGAAGCCGAAAGACGACAGTCCGAAGCGGCCGATGTCGCCGTACATACTCTTCGCGACTCAAGAGCGACCTGTGCGTGTGTTTTGAGTCTGGATTAGATGCATGTTGCAATTAGATGGATTTTGCGGTTAGAAGTATTTGTGTCGACTCGAAATGCACCTCCTAAGCGACCCAATACGCCGTACATACCCGTCGCGTCTCATAAAATGCGAGTGCGTGCGCTGAGTCGTCTTCGCCTTTTGAGTGCGGCGCATGCACTCGCCTGAGTCGTGCGCTGAGCCGTGTATAGTTTTTTAGAATTCCCAAAAGCATAGCGCGTGCTGTAGTGCGCCAGCGCGCACCCTATTTCATCATCGTTTTTCAAGTTCGCTAGGCCTCGTCAATCTTCGCTTGGCCTCGTTAATCTTCGCTTAGACGTGCCCTTCTTCTCCTTCCTTGTTGTCCCTAACCTCGTTTCCCCTTACCTTGTTTTCCCGAACCTTGTTTTCCCTAACCTCGTTTTCCCGAACCTCTTTTTCCCTTGTCCGCGTCTCATGGCGGATGTTTTGCTCTTCGGTTTCACATTCCATGATTCCGTTTGTAACAAGATCTCACCTGTCCGCCTGTCCGCCTGTCAGAAGGCTCTAAGCTTCTGCTTCCCCTCTCGTTCCCGCAGCTTTCCTTTTTTGAGAATTCTCTAAGACCAACTTACCTGTCCACCTGTCAGAAGGTTCTCAGCTCCTGCTTCCCCTCTCGTTCCCCCGGCTTTCCCTTGTCGCCTGTGCGACAGAAAGTGGTTCGCGACAAGCCTGACCTCGGCTTCGCTGACGTCGGCAGGGCCATTGGCGAACGGTGGCGAAGCCTCTCAGGTGCGTCCTTCACAAATCGTTAATGTCCAAATGTCTTGGTTACGTGGTTACTCTTTGACATTCTGTATCAGCTATCATAAGGACGGACAGGATCTCTCTCATTCCTGTCTGTTTCCTCAATTCCTTCCCCACGCTTGTCATATCCTACCCCCCTTCCTCCATCCCCATCCATTTTTACCCCAAACGTCCCTCTCCCCTCCCCCCCTTCCCTCCTCTTCCCCCCCCTTCCTCCCCTTCCCTTCCCTTCCCTCCCCTCCCCTCCCCTCGCGTGTCTCCCACCTTTCACCTCTTTCCTCCTTTTCGTGCAATCCCCTTCGGTTCCTGCCTCATATCCCTATCACCACACCTCTCCGTATTCCCCTGACGCTCCGTTTCCACCTGCACCGCTTTCCACCACACCTCTCCGCTTTCCACCCCACCTCACCGCTTTCCACCACACCTCACTTCTTTATTTCCCCTGCTGCTGAGTCCCCTCTGCTCCCTGCTCCCCATAAGATGAACCCTCCCTCCCACCCCCAACCCCTTTCCCGCCGCCCCCTCTCGTCCGCTTTCCATTCTAAACTACACGCCTTTCCGCGCCTGACAAGGTGAAGTTTGAGGAAGCTGCTCAGAAAGAGAAGCTTTTGAGTCGACTCGGAAAGATAAGCTTTTGATTCGACTCAAAAGCAGACCCAACCCCAACCCCTCTCCCGCCATCCCCTTCCGTCCGCTTTCCGTTTGAAGCCACACCGCTTGCAGCGCCTGACAAGGTGAAGTTTGAAGCTGCTCAGAACGAGAAGCTGTTCCCCTCCCCTTCGTTCCCTTCAACGCCCTCCTTCCCTTCCTTCTCCCCGCCCCCTTGCACTGGGTGACAAGGTGAAGTTTGAGGAACTAGCCCAGAAGGACAAGCTGTCTCCGGCCCCCACTCCCCTCCAACTCTTTCCCCCCCCTCTATTTCCCCTCTCCCTTGCAGCGGGTGACAAGTTGAATTTTGAGGAGTTCGTTCCTCCCCCACCACACCCACCCCGCCCCACACCCACAACCGCCCCATATCTTCCCAACAAGTTTCTTTCCCTCCTCCCTCCTTCCCTCCTCTGCTCTTCTCCCTGCTTTCTTGCAGCGGGTGACAAGGTGAAGTTTGAGGAACTAACCCAGAAGGACAAGCTGTTGTCCTGCCTCCCTCACCCACCCCGCCCCACACCCCCTCCCCCCCCCGCCCCCCGCCCCCCACTCCCCGAGCAGCGGGGGACAAGGTGAAGTTTGAGGAGCTAGCCCAGAAGGACAAGCTGCGCTATGCTGCTGAGCTGGAGGCTTACAACAAAAGCAAGGGCACGAAATAAAGGGGGATTCTGTATGAAGGGTTAGCTATAAAGGAGGTGGTCTTGGGATGGGATGCTTCGGAAGTGGGAGCACGTCCGGCCCGGGCCTGGCCTTCAACAGAGCAAACAGATTAGTTCGGTCCGGTCCTGAGGGATTATGCTTTGCCATTTCCTGTTCTGGTTGTTGTGGTTGGAAGTTGGATTGTGTAGGTGGATGCACAGACACGCAACCTTCTGCTAGTATGACAACTGAATGTGCCATGCTTCTACAAACGCACGACTAAACGGACGTCAGCAGAGCTGCATCTACATCCCAGCCTAATATCTCCAACACAATGGTATGGCACTTTTGTGGCTAACTTATGGTAACCAGGTCTGCATTCTTACTGACATGGCTGTGGAACAGACACTGTAGTTCCTCATTCGAATATTGCTGACTGGAGGAGACACTGGGACTGTACACACCGGGCAGGTGCACCACCGATATCAGACCCACCAGCTTTGAGGCGCCTCACAACCAGATCTGCTGTCAACTTGCCTGCTTGTGCTTCGACTCTTCAGTCAAAGGCGCACACCAGATGCACCACCTCTTTCAGCGACTGCAAGGGTGCAGTCCGTGCATGCAGCAGCCAGGGAAGAGCATGCAGTGGCAGGGAGGAGCGGGAGGGGGGGGAGGAGGGGGGGAAGGGGAGGAGGGGAGGGGGATCAGGAGAGAATGCATTTTTTAAGGTCCTCAGACGCACACACCAGGTGCACCATCTCCCTAAGCGACCGTCGGGGTGTACATTTTTTAGCAGAATAACGGATATGTGGCAGGGGAGGCATAGGGCGGAGGATACTTGGGTTGGGAGCATATACATCAAATAAGAGCAAACGTAAAGAATCACCGTAGAACTCTGTAAGCCAAGTTTCCCAATGGAAGATGCAACAGAGAAGCCTTTTGAGGCGCCTCAAAAGCACTCCAAGTTTCCGAATGGAAAATGCAAGAGTCCTGTTTGAAACTGTATCCGCATGCCTGTTAACCTGTCGGCAGTATTCTTTCACGCCTTGGGATACCACCACACAAGCAGCAGCAGCAGCAGCAGCAGCAGCAGCAGAAGCTGTGGGATGGCCATACGAACCTGCTTGTAACGCGTCCCATGCTGCTGCCTGCTCACCTGTCTGCTGTACTCTTCCATGCCTTGGAGTATCGCCGCAGCTGCAGCTGCAGCAAAGGAAGCTGTGGGATGGCACCACTCTGTGTGACAACGAACCTGCTTGTAACGCGTCCCATGCTGCTGCCTGCTCACCTGTCTGCTGTACTCTTCCACCCCTTGGAGTATCGCAGCAGCTGCAGCTGCAGAATCAGGAAGCGCATTGTAGAATTGCTCGAAGAATCCACCATCGTTGCCACTGCCACTGCCAACAGGATCAGCCGTGCCAACAGTAGCAGCACCAGCACCAGCACCATCACAACCAGCACCACCACCAGCACCAGTACCAGCACCAGCAGCACCAGCAGCACTGGCATCGGCTGCAGTGCTTGGAAGCGCAGGAGGCACTGCATCCGCGTCAAGGCGAGAGGTGATGAGGAAAGCAGAGAGGGGCGAGAGCGCATGGTGCAGGAGATGGTGCGCGGACAGGGGAAAGGCACGCTGGGCAAGGGGGTTTCGGAAGGGGGTGGGGGGGGGGGGAGGGGGGGTGGGGGGGAAAGCTTTGTGACGATCGTTGCTACCAGAGAACATGGTAGGGAAGATGCTGGGAGTCAGCACCCTGGCGAGTGATATGGAAAGCAGAGAGGGGCGAGAGCAAGTGCTTCAGCAGATGGTGCATGGACAGGGGAAAGGCGTGCTGTAGGGAAGGGAATGGGGAAGACAGGGCATGTAGGTTAAGGTTATGGTCGTAGATGGTGTTGAAGTTGAGAGATCCCGAGGGTTTAGCAAGGAGAGAGCTTCTCATGAACAGACAGACTGCACTGAGGAGTCTATTTTTGAGGCACTGAGGCGCCTCAAAAATAGGTTTCTATTTTTGAGGCGCCTCAAAAATAGGTTTCTCATGAATGGACTGCAATGAGGAGTCTATATTTGAACAGACTGCGCTGGAAACGGCAAGACCTCCCAGCAGGAAGTAGGAAAGGATGCGAAGAAAGTGCAGTACTTACAGCCATGGTAACAAGGACTTTGCGCAGTGACGCTGGGGGCAACGCAGCAACCACAGACTCCACTACTGCAGCAGCCCCCCTCCCTTTGTACTCCTCCTTCTCTTCCCCCTCGTCACTCCCCTCCCCCTCTGCACTCTCTTCTTCCCCAGCTGCTTCCCCCACTTCTTCTTCCGCTCCCTTCTGCCATCCTTCCCGGCTGTCTTCCCCTCGTTGCCGCTTATGCCTACACTGCTTCTCCTGTGCCTCAAGAGCACGCCTCCTCTTCCCAGCCCCAGCAGCATCACAACAACCAAAAACACCAGCAGGAGCTTCAGCAGCAGCAGCAGCAGCAGCAGCCAGAACAAGCGTTTCCACTGCCCTTCTCTCCCTCTCACTCAATTCTTCCATCAGCTCTTGTCGTCCTTTCTTCGCCTCCTCCTCCATTCTCGCCTCTCTATCCCCCTCTCCCTCCATTCCCTTCTCGTCCGGCTCGCCCTTGTCCCTCTCACTCGACGCATCCTTCACCTCCCGCCGTCCCTTCGTCGCCTCCTCCTCCATTCCCGCTTCCGCTTCTCTATCCCCCTCTCCCTCCATTCCCTTCTCCTCCTGCTCCCGTCTCTCCCTCTCACTCAAATCTTCCCTCGCCTCTTGCCTTCCCTTCTTCGCCTCCACCCTCCTTCCTTCCTCTGCCTCCTCCTCTCCCTCCCTACCCTCCTCATCCTGCGCTCCTCCCTCATCTGCATCCTCCCTTCCCTCCTCCCTTCCCTCTCCTTGCAATGATCCAACTACCCTCCCTGCAGCACTAGCCCCCTCTCCCCCTACTAGGCCAACTACCCTCCCACCGCTCACCCCTTCTCTCCCCCCTCTTTCTGCCGGTTCCTCCTCCCCTCTTATCCTTCCTTCTCCTGCCGACTTCACTACTTTCCCAGTGTATCCTCCCTCCCCAGCCTCCACCCCCCCGAGGGGCGTGTGAGTCGACTCAAAAGCCACCTTGGGTCCTGCCGACTCCCCTGCTTTCCCACTACACCCTACTTCACCACCCTCCACCCCTTCTGCCGTTTGAAGCACCTCAAAGCCAAAACCCACACCCTCTTCCCCTCCAGCTCCTGTCGTTGCTGCCCTTTTAGCCTTGCACTCCTGAGATAAGCGACAGAACAAGGGAGGAAATAAAGCAAAAGAAGGCGAAAGGTGGGACGAAAGGGAAAGAGGAGGAGGAAGGGGGAAAGAGGGAGGCGCGGGAGGGTGGGGGAGAGGCAGAAGGGAGAGGGAATAGGAGGAATGGGCGGTAGTTGGGGTTGAGAAGAGGTGCAAGCAAAGCACCTGATGAAACAAGGAAGAGTTGACCAACAAGTATTTAATTAAATATTTATCGGTAAAACGGCTGAGGGTGATTTCTGAGGCGCCTAAAAAAAGGAGGGAGGGGGGGGGGGGGGTGAAGATGAGAAGAGGTGCAAGGCACGTCATAAATGACCTAAGGGTAGAAAATGGCTGAGGGAGGAGAGTTGAAGAGCAGAGGGGTTTGAGAGAGAAATGTGTGGAGAACCAGCATCTACACCTTGGTACGTACATTGTGAGCTGACACACCTACGGGGGAAGAGTTACATAAGTACCTTGTGAGTTCACCAGCCTACGGAGGAACAGTAACGCACCTTGTGAGCTTCCAGCAGGCTTGCACCAGCAGAGAAAAGGGAACGGGGCAGGGAGGAAGAGGAAAAGGGGCAGGTTGGAAACACAGAAGGGCCAGGGAGGAAGAGGAAAATAGGGAGGAGAAGGGGGTGGGGGGGGGAATAGGGGGAGAGGAGAGAGGGCGGCGGGGGTGGGGAGGGGAGAGGGGGGAGGGGGAGGTGGAGACGAGGTTGAAAAGGGAGCGGGGAGACAGAGAAGGTTGGGCACTCGTGTAGGATAGTAGAGTTCCTTGTGTGACCCAACCCAAGTGTAAGTAGTTCAGTTTTGAGGCGCCTCAAAACTAAACTACTTACGAAGGTTGAGCACTCGTCTAGGATAGTAGAGGTCCGTGTGTGACCCAAACGAGAGGAACACTAGGGAGGGGTTCATCATCCATCCATACATCACTTACACCCATGCCATAGTGAACGCATCTAGCAAGAATTCGTCAGTATAGGTCCATGTGTGATCCAAATGAGACCATTTTTTAGTCGACTCAAAAATCGACTCATTACACACGGATTCGTCAGTACACACGGATTCGTCAGTACACACGGATTCGTCAGTACACACGGATTCGTCAGTACACACGGATGCGTCAGTACACACGGATGCGTCAGTACACACGGATGCGTCAGTACACACGGATGCGTCAGTACACACGGATGCGTCAGTACACACGGATGCGTCAGTACACACGGATGCGTCAGTACACACGGATGCGTCAGGATAGGTCCATGTGTGGCACAAATGAGACACACACTGGAGAGAAAACCCCTCCCACACCCACACCATCATCCATCATGCTCTGCCATGCATGACAGTAAGCACACCTTGTGAACACTCTTCTTGCGTAGTATAGGTCCATGTGTGACCCAAACGAGAGGCACACTAGGGAGGGCCACCAGAAGTTGATGGCGATAGTGGCTGGCGCGCTGCTCACCTGGTGGTACCTGCATTGACAGTAAGTCACGAGCAGTGAGGTACGAGCAGTGAGGCACGGGCAGGGAGGCACGCGCAGTGCGGCGTGAGTAGTGGGGTAACGACCAGTGGGGTAACGACCAGTGGGGTAACGACCAGTGGGGTAATGACCAGTGGGGTAATGACCAGTGGGGTAATGACCAGTGGGGTAATGACCAGTGGGGTAATGACCAGTGGGGTAATGACCAGTGTCTGCCGATAAGAGTGTGTCACCTGCATGAAGCATCACAGTTGCTGCAGCAGCCGCTGCTACCGGGGGGAGGTGCCACCCTACCCCACCCACCACTTTTTTTGAGGCGCCTCAAAAATAGACTCCTCACGGGGGGAGATGCCACCCTACCCCACCCACCACGGGCCCTACGAGTTACCAGCCGCTCTGTCAGCCACCACTACCCTGCCCATCCCCCCTCTCCCCAACACTCAACAGCCTTCAGGCAGGAAGAGCACATCCCCAGCACGGAGAGTCACAGTCGTTGCTGCGGCCGCTGCTGCCACCGTATCTGTCCCCCTACCACGGGCCCTACAAGTTCCATCCGCTCTGTCAGCCACCACTACCCTGCCCATCCCCCCTCTCCCCAATCCTCACCAGCCTTCAGGCAGAAACAGCGCGCCCCTAGCACGGCGAGTCACAATCGCTGCTGCGGCCACTGCTGCGGCCACTGCTGCCACCGTATCTGTCCCCCTACCACGGGCCCTACCTACCAGCCACTCTGTCAGCCACCACTGGTCCACTACCCCACCCATCCCCCCTCTCCCCAACCCTCACCAGCCTTCAGGCAGGAAAAGCACATCCCCAGCACGGAGAGTCACAGTCGCTGCTGCAGCCGCTGCTGCTGGGGACAGGTGGAGAGGTGGTGGATGGGGGTGCCTGCAAGAGAAGCGGACAAAGGGGTGGGTGGGCGGGCGGACGGCACGAGGATATGCGTTTCGTTAGACTGAAACGCACAGCAGAAGCGGCGGCATCCGAACGAGAAGCGAATCAAATTTGATTATTAAAAAAAACAAAAAAAACAAAAAAAAGAGGAAGGGGGGGGATGGAAAAAAAATTATGAGACTCTTGAGTCCACTCAAAAGTCATCTCGTGAGACTCCTCCAGAGAAAGGAAGGAGAAGAGGTGGAGGGGGGGGGAACGTGACACTGCCTGCAAGGAAGGCAAGCAGTCTTAAAAAAACGGCTGCTGCTACCATTTAAGGTTACAGGAAAAGCACTAGAAACACCTGTTGAAAAGAAAATGAAGAAAAGGCAGCAGGCAGGTGCTGACACGTGATTGGAGGACTCGGAGTAGAGCGGCATGGGGTCCAGGGAGAAAACAACAATGATACATGATTGGAGGGAGACAGGACAACAGGTGCTGACACATGATTGAAAGGGGAAGGTGAGAAGTGCTGACACGTGGTTGGGGGAAGGTGAGAGGTGCTGACACGTGGTTGGGGGAAGGTGAGAGGTGCTGACACGTGGTTGGAGGACTCGGAGTAGAGCGGCATGGGGTCCAGGAGATGTGCGGCTGAGGGAGGCCACAGGCGAACTGCTCTGGTGCAGAGCGGTGGAGAGGGGTGGGATGAGATATCGGAGAGCGGGATGGGAAGCAGGGGGGAAGTGGGGAGAGAGTGAGACAGGAGGGTCGAGAGGGGCAGAGGATGAAAGCAAAGGGCCAACTGCTTTGGTGCAGTGCGGTGGGGAGGGGTGAGATGGCATGGGTGAAGCATAAGGCGAGATAGGGGGGATTGGAATGGGTTCAGAGATGGGCGGCTGATGGGAGCTTGAACTGCTCTGGCTCAGTGAGGTGAGGTGCGGTGAAGTGGGAGGAGGAGGAGGAGGAGGAGGAGGAGGAGGAGGAGGAGGAGGAGGAGGAGGAGGAGGAGGAGGAGGAGGAGGAGGAGGAGGACGAGGAGAGTGAAGATAAATGGAGCGTCAGAGTGTGCTCACCAGTTTTGGAGCCAGTGGCGATGCACAACAAGTTGTGGAAGAGGTCGTAGTGAGGCGAGGAGGACGAGGGCCCGCCAAGTGTCATCCAGAGATTGGCTGATGTGAGACGAGATGGGTCCAGGACTGACGCCTGGAAGGGTGAAATGGGTGGAAGGGCGGGCAGCAGAGAAAAAGTGGCCTGATGGTGTTCGTGGTATTTGGCAATATTCAGATGGTTTTACATGGTGTTGAATGGTGTTGAATGGTGTTGAATGGTGTTGAATGGTGTTGGATGGTGTTGAATGGTGTTGAATGGTGTTGAATGGTGTTGAATGGTGTTGGATGGTGTTGAATGGTGTTGGATGGTGTTGGATGGTGTCGGATGGTGTCGGATGGTGTCGGATGGTGTCGGATGGTGTCGGATGGTGTGGAATGCTGTTGAATGGTGTTGAATGGTGTTGAATGGTGTTGGATGGTGTTGGATGGTGTTGGATGGTGTTGAATGGTGTTGAATGGTTTGAATGGTGTTGATTGGTGTTGAATGGCGTTGGATGGCGTTGGATGGTGTTGGATGGTGTTGGATGGTGTTGGATGGTGTTGAATGGTGTTGGATGGTGTTGAATGGTTCGAATGGTTTGAATGGTCTTGGATGGTGTTGAATGGCGTTGGATGGCGTTGGATGGTGTTGGATGGTGTTGGATGGTGTTGGATGGTGTTGGATGGTGTTGGATGGTGTTGAATGGTGTTGAATGGTGTTGGATGGTGTTGAATGGTGTTGGATGGTGTTGAATGGTGTTGAATGGTGTTGCATGGTGTTGCATGGTGTTGGATGGTGTGGGATGGTGTTGAATGGTGTTGAATGGTGTTGAATGGTGTTGAATGGTGTTGAATGGTGTTGAATGGTGTTGAATGGTGTTGAATGGTGTTGGATGGTGTTGAATGGTGTTGAATGGTTTGAATGGTGTTGAATGGTGTTGAATGGCGTTGGATGGCGTTGGATGGTGTTGGATGGTGTTGGATGGTGTTGGATGGTGTTGGATGGTGTTGGATGGTGTTGGATGGTGTTGGATGCTGTTGAATGGTGTTGGATGGTGTTGAATGGTTTGAATGGTTTGAATGGTGTTGAATGGTGTTGAATGGCGTTGGATGGCGTTGGATGGTGTTGGATGGTGTTGGATGGTGTTGAATGGTGTTGAATGGTGTGGGATGGTGTTGAATGGTGTTGGATGGTGTTGAATGGTGTTGGATGGTGTTGAATGGTGTTGAATGGTTTGAATCGTGTTGATTGGTGTTGAATGGCGTTGGATGGCGTTGGATGGTGTTGGATGGTGTTGGATGGTGTTGGATGGTGTTGAATGGTGTTGGATGGTGTTGAATGGTTTGAATGGTTTGAATGGTTTGAATGGTGTTGAATGGTGTTGAATGGCGTTGGATGGCGTTGGATGGTGTTGGATGGTGTTGGATGGTGTTGGATGGTGTTGGATGGTGTTGGATGGTGTTGAATGGTGTTGAATGGTGTTGAATGGTGTTGAATGGTGTTGGATGGTGTTGAATGGTGTTGGATGGTGTTGGATGGTGTCGGATGGTGTCGGATGGTGTCGGATGGTGTCGGATGGTGTGGGATGGTGTGGAATGCTGTTGAATGGTGTTGAATGGTGTTGAATGGTGTTGGATGGTGTTGGATGGTGTTGGATGGTGTTGAATGGTGTTGAATGGTTTGAATGGTGTTGATTGGTGTTGAATGGCGTTGGATGGCGTTGGATGGTGTTGGATGGTGTTGGATGGTGTTGGATGGTGTTGAATGGTGTTGGATGGTGTTGAATGGTTCGAATGGTTTGAATGGTGTTGGATGGTGTTGAATGGCGTTGGATGGCGTTGGATGGTGTTGGATGGTGTTGGATGGTGTTGGATGGTGTTGGATGGTGTTGGATGGTGTTGAATGGTGTTGAATGGTGTTGGATGGTGTTGAATGGTGTTGGATGGTGTTGAATGGTGTTGAATGGTGTTGCATGGTGTTGCATGGTGTTGGATGGTGTGGGATGGTGTTGAATGGTGTTGAATGGTGTTGAATGGTGTTGAATGGTGTTGGATGGTGTTGAATGGTGTTGAATGGTTTGAATGGTGTTGAATGGTGTTGAATGGCGTTGGATGGCGTTGGATGGTGTTGGATGGTGTTGGATGGTGTTGGATGGTGTTGGATGGTGTTGAATGGTGTTGGATGGTGTTGAATGGTTTGAATGGTTTGAATGGTGTTGAATGGTGTTGAATGGCGTTGGATGGCGTTGGATGGTGTTGGATGGTGTTGGATGGTGTTGAATGGTGTTGAATGGTGTGGGATGGTGTTGAATGGTGTTGGATGGTGTTGAATGGTGTTGGATGGTGTTGAATGGTGTTGAATGGTTTGAATGGTGTTGATTGGTGTTGAATGGCGTTGGATGGCGTTGGATGGTGTTGGATGGTGTTGGATGGTGTTGGATGGTGTTGAATGGTGTTGGATGGTGTTGAATGGTTTGAATGGTTTGAATGGTTTGAATGGTGTTGAATGGTGTTGAATGGCGTTGGATGGCGTTGGATGGTGTTGGATGGTGTTGGATGGTGTTGGATGGTGTTGGATGGTGTTGGATGGTGTTGAATGGTGTTGAATGGTGTTGAATGGTGTTGAATGGTGTTGGATGGTGTTGAATGGTGTTGGATGGTGTTGGGATGGCTGTGGAGGAAAAGTGCAAAGAAGGGAAGAGAGAGAAAAAAACACTTGCATGAGAGAGAGTGCAGCAAAGGGTGCGGAAAATATGGACACAAAACATCACACAATAACATGATACCGCACAGAAATTGAGTGCGAAATGTAATAACAGGAATAATATAGCATGAATACAGAGTGTGAAACATTGTAGCAGCAATCAGACAGCATGGATATTGAGTGTGGAACGCACTAACAGCAGCATTGATACCACCGACGATGGACATTGAGCTCGCATCAACCATTATAACCAAAAACCATCTCACAGATCAGAGCAGCGCCCTACACTTCTGGCCAGTATAATCTAAGACCGGTTACACCGTTACCATACAATAGGAGCATCTTGCAGCAGGGGAGTGAGCGGGAAGTGCTGATGTGGCTGTTGACGGTCGAAGATTGGATTCTAAGGGGGGGAGGGGGAGGAACGGGTTAGTTGGCTCCGTGGTTAAGTAGGTTAGTTTTGAGACGTCTCAAACCACGTGCTGATGTGGCTGTTGGCGGTCGAAGATTGGATTCTGTACGGGGCGGAGGGGAGGGAACGGAACGGGTCAGTTGATTTCGAAGCGAGGTTGCTTTCAGTGGCATTTGAGTAGACCCGAAAGGGCAGAGTGTAAGGACAGGACAGGGTTAGGGATCATGAGAGGGAGCAAGTCAGGAGGTGTGTGGGGGGGTGCGTTAAGAGGTGAGTGGGGAAGTGAGTGAGTCAGGCGGTGAATGGGGGGTTCTTGAGGATGTTCGTAAGGTGGTGTGTTCGGAAGAGTGTGAGGTGGTGTGTGAGTTGGTGTGTGAGTTGGTGGTGTGAGCTGGTGGTGTGAGGTGGTGGTGTGAGCTGGTGGTGTGAGGTGGTGTGTGATAGACTTGAGCATTTTACCTGGTCGGGTCGCAGGTACCCGACCCGACCCGACATTTTGGCCGGGTCGGGTAATAGGATTCCTCCTATGTATTACCCGGCCGGGTTGGTCGGGTACTTGGGCCGGGTAATGCTTGCACGTTACCCAAGAATTACCTGAAGGTCGGGTAATTCGTTACCCGTCCGTCGGGTCGCAGGTACCCGACCCGATTCCGGGTCGTGCGATTACCCCACGAAAACCAGTGCGACATTTTCCCCGCTGGTTGGGAAATTTCTAGCATAAGGTCCAAATTTCCCGCTATTTTTTTCTTTCGCACTTGCGACCTACCCTCAGATGCACCTAGGAGCATTCCGCAGTTGGTCTGCTACAAACCGCACCTAGTTTTCATTAAAGATTTTGGAAGGGAGTAGGCAAAGGGCCACTCCGTGGCGCTTTTTGCTGCCATGCCCAAAAGTCTTGCATCGTTCCCCTAAACCACAAAACTGCAGTGACAGGTCTTTGGACACATTCTCAGCAGGTTCTACCAAAGAGTAGCATTTACTGGTGACTTTACAGCCATCTAGGGGTACCCGGGTAATAATACCCAACTTCATTTAAAAGCGGATCGGGTATACCCGACCCGCCACACGGGTACCCAATTACCCGAGTATTAAAAAGCCGGGTCGGGTAATAGACCTCCAGAGATTACCCGGAAACTACCGGACCCGACCCGACCCGAACCCGATCGCGGGTAGGGCAAAACCGGATCGGGTCAGGCAATTACCCGGTTTTGCTCATGTCTAGTGTGTGATGTGGTGTGTGGGGCGGTGAGTGGAGACGTGCAGGGAGCAGGGGGTTTGCAATGGGCAGGAAGGAAAAGAGGCAGAGAAATGTAACTAACAACCGAACGAAGGCATGGGCGAAGCACACAGAGGAGAGGAGGAGGTGGAACAGAGAAACACACGTGGGCGAGGTAGAACCATAGAAAGCCAGCAGTGCTGCACCAGACCAGACGCCATTTTTGAGGCGCCTCAAAAGCTGAAGCACACAGAGGAGGAGGTGGTGGTGGAGCAGAGAGAAACACACACCTGGGCGAGGTAGAACGCGAGTGGTGCAGCACCAGACGCCATGGCTCGTATCAACTCCTGCAGCCCACTGCCCTGCTCCTCACCCCCTCGCCCCTCACTTCCCTCCTCACCCCCTCGCCCCCCATTGCACTTCCCATCACCACTGCCCGCAGCACTGCTGCCAGCAGCACCGCTGCCAATAGCACCACTGACAGCAGCACCGCTGACAGCAGCACCGCTGCCAGCAGCACCGCTGCCAGCAGCACCTCTGACAGGAGTGGCAGCGGCAAGACCGCTGCCTCCCCCTCTGGCACTTGCTCCAGCTTCCGCAGCAAGGGGGGACGCGCAAGCAAGGGCCAGGGCATCAGAAAACGTAGCTGCGATCTGATTGAAAAGTGGTAGCACATGTGGGAGATTTTCGGGACAAGTGAGTCAAGGGATCAGCAGGTGCAGCACCAACAGCAGCAGCAGCAGCAGCAGCATCGAGTACAAGGGGAAGCGCACGAGCAAGGGTGAGTGCATAAGAAAATGTAGCTGCTGCTGCGTGATTCAATAACGGGAGCAAATGTTGAAAAGGAGATCGGAAAAAAAAAAAAAAAAAAAAAACACACACACACACACACACACACCCCAAGGGGTGTGCGAGGCTTAATCAATGTGTCAAGGTTTGCGAGAAATGCACAGCAAGAAGCAGCTGCAAAACGGATGCAGCAGGCAGACAGCCTCACCCGCTCGTGCTTGCGCAGCGCTCCATCGAAGTAGGCTGAGGGCTGCTGCTGCGCCTGTGATTCTGGTGGCGCATGTGACTCTAAAGGGTGTGACTGTATGGCAGCGCTGTGTGGCCCTGTGCGAGTCATGATGAGCTGCACTGGAGCCGTCCCAACCAGGTGCTGCACGCAGGGGGAGAATGGGAGAAGGATTAAGGGGGTTGGGGGGGGGGGGGGGGAGGGGAGGGAGGAGTTGGGGGGGAGGGTAGTATTGGAATTTGGAAGAAAGCAAGCATGTGTTTGGCATGCTGGTGGTGACGCGCAGAGTGTTATCAGAAAAGGCGCAAGGGATGACGGGTTGTACGAATGGCAGGAGCCCACATGAAAGCTCTTGCACCTGCAAGTGACTGTGAGCATGGGGGTTGCTGCGCTGATCCCTTAGCATCCGTGGAGAACAGGTGCTTGAATGCTCACTTGAATGCTCACTTGAATGCTCACTTGAATGCTCGCTTGAATGCTCACGAGATCAGTGCTAGAATGTGGATCACCTGCAAGTACCCGCGTGCATGAGGATTGTTGATAAGGTCCCATCGGGCCAGTGCCGGCCAATCAGCCACTGCTCCTCGCAATACCTGACACGTGGATGAGGGGTGGGGGTTGTACACGTGGATGGATGGATGGACCAAAGCCAGCAGCACAAGCACCATGTCAGCAAAACCCGCATCCCGTCAGAAGCACACGCGCCCCGTCAACAGCACACGCGCCACGTCAGCAGCGCACGCACCACGGGTAAGTTATCCTTCTCCAGCCGATGGCAGAGCAGCGGCTGGTCCGTCGCGCCCGTCTCAATCTCCTTCACCGCCGGCGCGCTTTCCACACCTGTAAGAACATCGTCCATTGCCATCTTCACGGCGTTTAACTAAAAGTAACGTAATTCAATCGGTCAGGAAATGCCGACCCGCTTCCGACCATGACTCGTCAGGCCATCAGACTTCGTGATATATCCCGTCTTTGATATGAACTACCGATGATGCTAATAAGGCCACTGTCATGCGTCTTCGAAGTTTGCGGGCCGAGTAATAGCAGACTCTAATCTCCAGTGCCTGCCATCGCGCTTCGGTCTGATACTCTATGAAACATATTGAATGTGTGAATGTGGTGATTCTCAATTCTAGAATCTAGGCAATCAAGAACACATCAAAAGTAACAGTTTGGAAAAGATTGTTTCTTATCACATGCATCTTGAAATTACCTATTCACGCAATACGCTAGTGCTAAAACAAACGTGTAGATATTTTTAGTTTCACCCTCCAACCTGTCCAAATGGCTCTTAGTTCGCTCAAACAAGGGGTATGTCGAATATTTCACTAAAATCTTCGATTATATATTGATCTCTGTATTCTACTTCACATTTTTCTTGCTTCCCTCACCATCTACTCTTGACTGGAATCTTGATATTTATCATACAAGGTTCCAGACACTCCTCAAGTGTACTTATCAAAACAATGGGATTGACGACGTGCTGGATCATCACCTCCACCACCACCAGGATCTTTCAACCAGCCTCCAAGCTCTAGCAGGTTGATTGCAAGCACAGCACAGAAGCCTACGTAGCTGCTCCATCACGATTCACAATACTTGCTCACTCTCCCCTGATTTCTTGAATTCGCCGGCCATTTTCTCCAGTTCAAGGCGTAGTTGACGACGTTGCTTAGCTGTCGCGCTTACTCCGCTCCGCCTCTCTTAATTACTCCGCCTCCATCGCGCCGGGACCGGCTATTTAAAGCGTCGCAGGTACGTCCTGTTCTTCGGGTTTAGGAGGAATGCGATAAAATGTGACGCATCCTGCAGTGTGGAGTTAGCTTTCGGTTGCATTTGGAGCCGTAAGCGGTATTATTATGCGAAATCTTAGGAGGAGCGGCGGTATAGATCTGTCGTCAGAAAGCATTGCTTCTTCTCACACTGAAGGACGAGTCCACGACAAGCATCTCCTTCATTCCGCCTCCTGCTGAATCCTTGTCCTCAGCAAGCAAGCTCATTTCCTAAAAAACTTACGAAATGCGTATCTTGGCCCCAATTTCAACATCTTGTATTGTACAATCCGACTGCTTACACGGAACCGATCCAGAACCGCGGATCTCGCGGTGGATTTTCTTCTGAGTTTACTCGAGCAAGTTTAATGTCGTGTGTTGTAGAATCCGACTCCCGATACAGAACCGTGGTTCTCGCCATGAATTCGACGTCGTCGAGGACATGATGGACATTGACGATGGGAATGATGGGACTGATGGGAATGATGGGACTGATGGACTGGCCGGGCACTGATGATGGAAATTTATAGGTATGCCGGGTGCTGGACGTAGGCCTCCGCAGCCTGCTTGTTTAACCATCTACGAGTGCCAGAAACTGAGAATGATAACGCAATTCAGAGGAAAAGCTTGCCTTCGCTCGACGTCGGAATGCGAATCCGCAAGACATTTTCGCAGGCACAAACACCAGGAGATTCTTCCTTTTTTCGTGAACAAAAAACCGCAGCCTCTGGATTTGCTCGTCCTTGCCATGTCGTGCATGTCTTTCTACGCAGGTATCACTCCCCATTCCGGGTCCCTCTTCCTTCCCTTACCTTCATATCATTTCCCTCTTCTCTATCCACATCAGTGGTCAAAACGAGGACTTGATTGAAACTCGGCACCCTTGAGGCGAGTAAGCCATTGCCCTAACTGCCTGGAGGTTCTGCCAATCATTTATCGTTCCTGCCGTCCCGCCATCCTCCCCCTGCCAGCCACGTTGGCAGGCAAGATAGAGCGCCTGACGTTGAGCACTCTCCTGGCGGAGGACACGGAAGCTTAAGCAATATCCTGAGAGTTTGAAAAATTCTTACCGTCTGCTCATCATCCCTTTCTCCTCCCCTCTCTCCTCCCCGCCAGCCATGTTGGCAGTGAAGAAGGAGGGGCTGAAGCTGAGCACGCTCAGGGCGGAGGACCAGGAGGCGCCAGCCATCTCGGAGAGCTTCGAGGCGGAGGCAGCAGCAGCGCCGCACACCGCCATCCCCTCCTCCACGCTCGTGCCCTTCCCCCTGCTGCTCTCCGCCGAGGCGTACTGCCCCTGGACCATCCCTTTTAGGAGCGCCAAGGACCCGCCTGGCCAGCTGACGGACACCGAGGTTACATGGATTGACGTCTTCAGGCGCAGCATTGAGCCATTCGGGTGAGTTATTCCTCCTCCTCCTCCTCCTCCTCCTCCTCCTCCTCCTCCTCCTCCTCCTCCTCCTCCTCCTCCTCCTCCTCCTCCTCCTCCTCCTCCTCCTCCTCCTCCTCCTCCTCCTCCTCCTCCTCCTCCTCCTCCTCCTCCTGCTGCTGCTACTGCTGCTTCTGCTGCTGCTGCTGCTCACATTGACTCCCTCTTCGCGCCATGGTTCCTTCAGCGTACATTTCCTGGCCACAGATTGGTTGCATGCTGTGCGGGAACTCTGCCCAACTCCTTGCAGCTGCTTTTTGGTACTTGATCGTCGCTTTCTGGTGCATTATGTCTCTCTGTAATCTACGATAAAAGAAACCAGCACCTGGCGACGCCTTGGTTCAATTCAACTGATGGTTCTTGAGACGGCTCATGAGTTGTCGGTTGCTTTATGCTTTCCTTCTGCCGCATATTTCCTCTCTGTAATCCACGTGCAGGAAACGTGCAGCCAGCGACACCTTTGTGGAAAAGCGGGTTTATTTTTTCAGCTCAGACGTCATCTTTTGCTTTATGATGCGTATTTCCTCTCTATTATCCACTCGCAGGAAACGTGCAGCCGGCGACACCTCCGTGGAGAACGCTGCAGAGAAGGCAAAGGTCTTCGAAGAGAAGTAAGACTGTCTGTCTGTCACTTGTTGCTTCTATCCACAGCACAGTGTTCCGCACCTACCTTCTAAGAACACTCCTTCCGTCCTACTGCCTCACCCATAATCAACGCAAGTTGCAACTCTGCGCTCCGTTGCCATCTCATCGCTCGCTCCTCCCTGCCAGCAGCTCTCCCTTCCAATTGCATTCCGCCTCTCTCACTCTCCACTCAACACCCATAAGCCAGCCTTTTCAACAACCCCCACCCCTCCCCCCCTCCCGCCCTTGCCTGCCTGTGACACTTGGCATTACTTATGAAAATCTTGGTGTCTTGACTGCCACGTCCTTGTCCTCCCCCTCCACCTGTGATCGCTTTTGAGGCGCCTCAAAAGCGGTTTCTTGACTGCCAGTTCTGTGTCCTCCCCCGCCACCTGCGATCGCTTCCTTTCTCCTCCTTTCCACATCGCCCTTTGCCTTCCCCTCAGTCAGATATGCAGCGACCCTTGATGAGCTCGCCAAGTACCCAAGCAGCCATGGAGGCGAGTATTACGGTGCCTTGAAACTTTCTCCTCCATTCATTCCCCTTCGCCCTCTCCCTCCCCCCTTGCTCAGGTATGCAGCCATTCTTGATGATTTCGCCAAGGACCCAAACAGCCACGGAGGCCCTCCCAACATAGTGGTAAGCCCTCCTTTTAATTTAACATTGGACAGCTTTCATATCGCGTTTACGCATTCCCCCTCGCTCATGTATGCTGCATTCTGTGATGATTTCGCTCATGTATGTACCCTCTTGTCACTCACCCCCCTTCCGCTCTCGTATGTCTCCCTCTCCCATGCCTCGCATGCGTTTCTGAACCTCTGTAATTTGAGAAAGCGTGCTTCTCTTGTTACTCATCCCCCTTCCCCTCCTGTATGCCTCTCTCTCCCACACCTTCCTCGGTCTATCTCTCCCGCCTGTCAAACACCTTTCAGACCCTTTGTCGGCTGAGGGAGGAGTGCCTGACAGAGGCAGGCTTCGAAGACATCTTCAGGAAGACCAAGGTACGATAGAAGGGGGGGAAGACGCAGAGTAGGTGTCGTGTCGTCACACACACCCCACCCCCATCAGAAATGTGCTGACAGGGGCAGGCTTCGAAGACATCTTCAGGAAGACCAAGGTATGGGAGGATGCAAATTAGGTGCCACACACACTGTGCAGTACCTGTGTAGGCTGACGAAGGAGGGTGTGCCTGGCGGAAGCAGGCTTCAATTCGGAGACATTTTCACGAATACCAAGGTCGGAATGATTTGTGCGCCTCACAGCACAGAAGGCGCACGATGGGGCTCACATGCTCATGATTCGCCCACCTCTCATGTGGGGCTCACATACCAAGGTCATGACTCATGATGCGCCTCACCTCTCTTCTTTCCCCCTCACTTCCCCCCTCGCCCTTTCCTTTTCTTGCTTATAATCCCCTGCTGCCTGTACAACGCTTGACAAGCCTTCAACCCGAACCCTGAATCTCGTCAACCCCAACCATGCGGAGGAGAAAACGAGAAGGCACTGGCGAAGCTGCCTGCGATGCTGAAGAGCATCAATCCGGCTCCCCCCTCCCCTCAGCTCCCCTCCCTAAACTCTGAATTCTGAATCCAAATCTCTAAACCCCTATCAGGCAGAGGAGAATGAGAAGGCGCTGGCGATGCTGCCTGCCACGCTGAAGAGAATCGACGAAGTGACCGATCTGAAGGAGAGGATCGAGGTGCTGGTGAAGGGCGTGCTGGCAGGGAACATCTTCGACCTGGGGGCCAACAACGTGAGTGTAACGTGGTAACTGTGCGGGGTAACAGTGTTATTAGAATGCCGCAATGCTTAATTTTGAGTTACCACAGAAGGACCGCAAGGAGAGGGTTTAGGTTCTGGTGAAACCATGAAGGGCGTGCTGGCAGGGAACAACTTCGATCTGGGAGCCAACAACGTGAGTGTAACGTGGTAACTGTGGGAGGTAACAGTGTCATTAGAATGCCACAATGCTTTGAGTTGTCTCAAAAGGAGGATTGAGGTGCTGCTGAAGGGCGTGCGTGCTGGCAGGGAATATCTTCGACCTGAAAGCCAATAACGTGAGTGCGACACCGTAGCGACGTGAGTGAACAGTGTGATGTAGCAATGCTGTTGGAAGGCTGCAACGCTGCAGATTAAGTCGTCTCGAAGCAGTGACTGATCTCAAGGAGAGGATTGAGTTGAGGTGCTGCTGGTGAAGGGGCGTGCTGGTGAAGGGCGTACTGGCAAGGACCATATTCGACCTGGGAGCCAACAACGTGAGTGTAACACTGTAACCATGTGAATGTATCATCGTAACAGGTACTGCAGCAAAGTAGTCCACAGCCCTGATGGAGGGTGAGGTCCTGTCGAGACCCTCAGCAAAGCTCGAGAAGAGCTTTCAACAGCTGCTGCTGCACTGAAGCTCAAACGTTCCCTGAATTGAACCCCTCCTCATACGCACCCAATCTCTTCCTCCCCATCTCTCCCTCCCCATCTCTCCCTCCCCATCTCTCCTCGCCCCCTCCCCACCTTCCCCCCCACCTCTCTCCCGAAGTCTGCAGCCCTGGTGGAGGGCGAGGGTCTGTCGTTCGATAAGAGCTTTCAGCCGTTGCTGCCTTGTGCTCTTCATCTCTCCCCCCACGTTTCCTCCCCCTTCCCCCCCTCCTCCCTCCTTTTGAGTCGACTCAAAAGCCTTCAGCCGTTGCTACCTTGTGCTCTTCATCTCTCCCCCCCCCTCTCTCACCCCCGCCCCCTCTCTTTTTCCCCCTTCCCCCTCACCCCTACAGTCCGCAGCCCTGGTGGAGGGCGAGGGCCTGTCGTTCGAGAAGAGCTTCCAGCAGCTGCTGCCACGCCCGTGGGTGTTTGACCACGTGGCTGAGTTCCAGAAGGCGTGGCTGGACCGCACGTGGAAGAAGGTAAGGGGGGTCAAGGACGAAGGTATGCGGGTGATGGTTGGTAAGTGGTGTGTGGTGGGTGAGGGGGCTGGTGAGGGGGCTGGTGAGGGGGCTGGTGAGGGGGCTGGTGAGGGGGCTGGTGATGGGGCTGGTGAGGGGGCTGGTGAGGGGGCTGGTGATGGGGCTGGTGAGGGGGCTGGTGAGGGGGCTGGTAATGGGGCTGGTGATGCAGGGGCTGTAACACATTGTGGCAGTGTTGGCTTATAGCTCACTCCTTCCGTTATCCCCTTGACACCCCTCGGTTGGTTGTCTTCTGTGACAATTCCGGGGACAACCTGGTGCTGGGAGTGCTGCCGCTGGTGCGGCAAGCGGCATGGATGGTGGTGGCGTTGGCATAATTTGCGCCCCCTTCTTATTCCTTTAACACCCTCCAGGTAGTCGTCTTCTGTGACAATTCAGGGGCGGATCTGGTGCTGGGGGTGCTGCCGCTCGTGCGGGAGTTGGTGAGGCAAGGCGCGCAGGTGGTGGTGGCTGCCAACGACATGCCAAGCATCAATGACGTCACCTACAATGAGCTGCTCTCACTTGTGCAAAAGGTGGGGCTTTCTTTTCTCGCTGGGGGCTTGCATTTCTCCCTGGGGGCTTGCAGTTCTCCCTGGGGGCTTGCTTTTCTCCCTGGGAGCTTGCTTTTCTCCCTGGGAGCTTGCTTTTCTCCCTGGGAGCTTGCTTTTCTCCCTGGGGGCTTGCATTTCTCCCTGGGAGCTTGCTTTTCTCCCTGGGAGCTTGCTTTTCTCCCTGGGAGCTTGCTTTTCTCCCTGGGGGCTTGCATTTCTCCCTGGGAGCTGGCATTTCTCCCTGGGAGCTTGCTTTTCTCCCTGGGATCTTGCTTTTCTCCCTGGGAGCTTGCATTTCTCCCTGGGAGCTTGCTTTTCTCCCTGGGAGCTTGCTTTTCTCCCTGGGAGCTTGCTTTTCTCCCTGGGAGCTTGCTTTTCTCCCTGGGAGCTTGCTTTTCTCCCTGGGAGCTTGCTTTTCTCCCTGGGAGCTTGCTTTTCTCCCTGGGAGCTTGCTTTTCTCCCTGGGAGCTTGCTTTTCTCCCTGGGGGCTTGCATTTCTCCCTGGGAGCTTGCATTTCTCCCTGGGAGCTTGCTTTTCTCCCTGGGAGCTTGCTTTTCTCCCTGGGAGCTTGCATTTCTCCCTGGGAGCTTGCTTTTCTCCCTGGGAGCTTGCTTTTCTCCCTGGGAGCTTGCTTTTCTCCCTGGGGGCTTGCTTTTCTCCCTGGGAGCTTGCATTTCTCCCTGGGAGCTTGCTTTTCTCCCTGGGAGCTTGCTTTTCTCCCTGGGAGCTTGCATTTCTCCCTGGGAGCTTGCTTTTCTCCCTGGGAGCTTGCTTTTCTCTCTGGGAGCTTGCTTTTCTCCCTGGGAGCTTGCTTTTCTCCCTGGGAGCTTGCTTTTCTCCCTGGGGGCTTGCTTTTCTCCCTGGGATCTTGCTTTTCTCCCTGGGAGCTTGCTTTTCTCCCTGGGAGCTTGCATTTCTCCCTGGGAGCTTGCTTTTCTCCCTGGGAGCTTGCTTTTCTCCCTGGGAGCTTGCTTTTCTCCCTGGGAGCTTGCTTTTCTCCCTGGGGGCTTGCTTTTCTCCCTGGGAGCTTGCATTTCTCCCTGGGAGCTTGCTTTTCTCCCTGGGAGCTTGCTTTTCTCCCTGGGAGCTTGCATTTCTCCCTGGGAGCTTGCTTTTCTCCCTGGGAGCTTGCTTTTCTCCCTGGGAGCTTGCTTTTCTCCCTGGGAGCTTGCTTTTCTCCCTGGGAGCTTGCTTTTCTCCCTGGGGGCTTGCTTTTCTCCCTGGGATCTTGCTTTTCTCCCTGGGAGCTTGCATTTCTCCCTGGGAGCTTGCTTTTCTCCCTGGGAGCTTGCGTTTCTCCCTGGGAGCTTGCTTTTCTCCCTGGGGGCTTGCTTTTCTCCCTGGGAGCTTGCATTTCTCCCTGGGAGCTTGCTTTTCTCCCTGGGAGCTTGCTTTTCTCCCTGGGAGCTTGCATTTCTCCCTGGGAGCTTGCTTTTCTCCCTGGGAGCTTGCTTTTCTCCCTGGGAGCTTGCTTTTCTCCCTGGGAGCTTGCTTTTCTCCCTGGGGGCTTGCTTTTCTCCCTGGGAGCTTGCTTTTCTCCCTGGGAGCTTGCTTTTCTCCCTGGGAGCTTGCATTTCTCCCTGGGAGCTTGCTTTTCTCCCTGGGAGCTTGCTTTTCTCCCTGGGAGCTTGCTTTTCTCCCTCGTGCACAAGGGCAGGCTCTCTGCTACTGGTGAGGCAAGGCGCACAGGTGGTGGTAGCGGCTAACGACATGCCAAGCATCAATGACGTCACCTACAATGAACTCCTGTCTCTCGAGTGAAAGGTGGGTTTAACTTTTGAAAGATCCGTCGCACCGGTGAGGCAAGGCGCACAGGTGGTGGCAGCAGCCAACGACATGCCAACGACATGCCAACGACATGCCAACGACATGCCAACGACATGCCAACGACATGCCAACGACATGCCAACGACATGCCAACGACATGCCAACGACATGCCAACGACATGCCAACGACATGCCAACGACATGCCAACGACATGCCAACGACATGCCAACGACATGCCAACGACATGCCAACGACATGCCAACGACATGCCACCGACATGCCAACGACATGCCGTCCATCCATCAATGACGTCACCTACAACGAGCTTCTCCCCCTCATGAAGACGGTCATTCAATCTGGTTCAGTTGGGCAGGCTCTTTCGTGAGAACGGCGTGTCCTGCTCTGAGTCGATTTTTTAGGCGCCGTGCTCTTCAGCACCGGCTCGACGCCCAGCATTCATAATGTCAATTACAACCCCTCCCTCTGACGCAGATCCCAAGGATCTGCCAACATCCGCTGTGCATGCATGCAAATACCCGGTGCAAGTTACACTAGTGAAAGAGACAATAAGTGCAGGCATCAACAGCGGAAGCATTGACAAGTCTCCTTTCCCTTTGCGTTCTTGCAACCACCAGGTGCAAGTGACAGTGGAGGATGAGACTATAAGTGCAGGCATCGACAGCGGGCGCATTCTCATCGTCAACTCGGGCAGTGATGTTCCTGTGAGTCTTCCTATCCAGACCCCTACATGAGGGCTCTCGTTGTGCCCCCTTTTTTAACTTGAGTCAACTAAAAGCTCGCCATATACTGTCAACACAGTGATGCTCCCTACGTCTTCCGGTCCAGAGCAGACCCGTAACTACCCGCCCGCCTTCATGATCCTCGTTGTGGTTAATACATCCGACAAGTCTTCACATTCCTTTTTTAATCTTCCCCTGTTTCCTCTCCTCTCTTCTTTTTCTTTCCTCCACTCCTCCCCTCCTTCCCTCCCCCCTTCCCTCCTGCACAGGTTGCTGACCTGGCACACATATCCCCTGAGCTGGCATTCGCTGCTGAAGATGCTGAGCTGGTCATTATGGAGGGCATGGTATGTGATTTATCCGTCCGTGCATGTATGGTGTATGCATGATATGAGCAAGAGCTGCATGGTTGTGGCGGATGCATGCATGCTGAGCTGGTCATCATGGAAGGCATGGTACGTGATGCATGGATACATGGTATGTGGTGCATGCATGCATTGTACGTGATGCATGGATACATGGTATGTGGTGCATGCATGCATTGTATGTGATGCGTGCATACATGGTATGTGGTGCATGCATGCATGGTATGTGATGCGTGCATGCATGGTATGTGATGCGTGCATACATGGTATGTGATGCGTGCATGCATGGTATGTGATGCGTGCATACATGGTATGTGATGATGCACTTTTTGGGCACCTGAGATAAACGTGTCGTGGAGTGATGCAACAGTCAATTTGCAACTCTCAAATATTCCAATCTTCTCCCTCCCATCCCCCTCCCATTCTCTTCCCCAGTGCATCAGGGTTGTGCGATGGAGACCAATCTCCATGCGCTTATGACGCGTGACAAGCTCAGCACTGGCATAATTGTGCAGGGTCTTTTTGTAGTTTTTGCATGCGCATATGACACCCTGTGTGCTCTCATGACACCCTGCATGCGCTTATGACACCCGGTATGCCCTTATGATGTGTGACAGCTCAGCATTGGCATGATCCGTCCATTGCCCCAGCTGACTCATTTCCTGTGGCCTGACCCCCTCCTCCCATCTCCCTTCTCTTCCTCTCAGGGCCGTGCCATAGAGACCAACCTGCATGCGCTCTTGACATGTGACAAGCTCAACATCGGCATGGTGAGATGAAATGAAACCCCTGGTGGCATGGTGACACGAACTTCAGTGTCTGGTATGCCAAAAAGAAAATGACACTGGTAACATGGAGCACATGTGTCTAGCTGCTTCTCTCCCCTGTTGCGTGCAGGCAGTGCCCCTCCGTCCCTGCACCCCCTCTCCCTTCCACCTCACCTCAACTAGTTCTGAACTTTGTTCTCATCTTGTTTTCATTTTGTCTTCGCTCCACGGAACCCCCACTGCCTCTTTTTCTCTCTCCGCCCTCTCCCTGCCGGCCCATGCCCTCCCCCTTTCCCTCTCGTTCCCCTTCACCTTCCCCAGGTTAAGCACAAGGAGGTGGCTGATTCCTAGACGGCCGCATCTACGACTGTGTCGACAAGTACTCCCCAGGGAACTGTACTCCCACTCCCTCCCCGAGTGCCCAAATCCCCCCCTTCTCCCCCCTCTTCGCCCCCCTCTCTCCCTTTCCTCTCGTTCCCCTTCACTTTCTCCAGGTGAAGCACAAGGAGGTGGCTGATTTCCTAGGCGGCCGCATCTACGACTGTGTTGTGAAGTACACCCCAGGCGACTATGTCCCCACGCCCTCCCGAGTGCCCAAAGTACCAACCCACCTGTCTTCCGCATAAGGATCGGCATGCATTCCCTGTGACAAAGGCTCGCAGTCCCTTTTTTATTGCCAAGGGACTTGGCACTTGTGTTCACTGTCAGGGAGGATGATGCGTCCTGTCACTGCCAGGAAGTTGGGCATAATGGAACTCCTCACTGCCAGAATCTTTATTTACCGGCCTCTGCCTCAAGCGTGGAGTACCAGGTGTTTCTGTTGGTCAAAGCACAGCATGCGGCATAAAAATGGCTGCTAAGAATGGCATATTCTTATGATGTCGTGCGACTGATTGGGCCGAAAACTGTGCAAGGAGGGATATCAAATCCTGCACATCATGGTGTCATTGTTTTATTCGTTAGAACTCATGTGTCATTTGTGGAGTGCTTACAACAGCGTATACGGTGATGGGATGAGATGAGACACAGAACATGTACGGTAGGTACATGTGCTTTGCTTGATATGCATGCAACCTTCGTCATGGTAAATCTGGGTGAATTTGCACCAAAAACAATCAATCAACTGTAAGTCAATGGCCGCAGGTCTCATGTCCGCATCAAGATGTACATCCACTCACATCAATACCTCCACAAAGCTATACAGCCACTTCTCAGTAGACAGCCCATCAAGTTCAGGCTTGCTTGGCATTGGTAAGCGGGCACACATAATCACCGCGCTCAAAGACAGCAGCTGCACCCATGCCAGTTCCTGGAAAGCAAAGATGCAATGCAGATGGGAGAGCATGGTGAGGAACGAGATGTGAAATGCCAGCCAAGGCCGGAGGCGAGGATCAGAAAGTCACATACAAAAGCTGGACGGAGGGAGCATGAGAGCTTGTGTGAGTGAAGATGCACTGTACAGACAAGAAATGGGCTACAACTTATCAGAAGCTTGTACGCACCAATGCACATTGAGACGACGCCAAACCGACAATCAACTCCCCGTCGCTTCATCTCATGCAGGAGTGTTGCGACACACCGTGCCCCTGTCACAACAACAAATGGTGATTAAAGCAATTATTGCAAGGAAAGTTTCACGGGGATGAGAAAGAAAAACCACGGAATGTGCCTGACATGCAGTTACCTGTAGCTCCAAGGGGATGGCCAAGAGCAAGCGCTCCTCCGTTCACGTTAATCTTCTCCTCATCCAGCTCAAGCTTGCGAGCGCAGTAGGTGAACTGGGAAGCAAACGCCTGAAAAAACCACAGGAAGAGAGCATTGGCACAGCCGTCTTTGAAAATGAGCAGAAGTCAGAGATGCATTGCACTGAGGTGGAAAACTGCATGCATGCTTCTCACCTCGTTGATCTCAAACAGGTCGATGTCATCAAGCTCCACCCCGGCTGCACTGACAGCAGCAGGGATGGCGACAGCAGGTCCGACTCCCATAATAGCAGGATCAACTCCAACGACAGAGAAGCTCCTGCATATTTTTACAAAGGAGTAAAGAGAAACCAAGGAAGTATACAAAACTAGACAAGCCAAAGCAGAGAAAGCAATTGTCAAACCGACACCGAGGCAGACGGATCGTCAGGATAGAGGGAGAGCCGGCGGGCTAGCTGACTGGCTAGAAAGGGCCACCCGCTTTAATGTCCAGCTAAGGGGGTTTTCTTCAAAAGAAATCCTCCTTCCAGCTTGGTCTACTGTTCCTACATCCACTCTCTTTCCATAAAGAACACGCACCTGAAAACTCCAAGAATGGGAATTCCTCGTCGGAGTGCCTCTCCACGGGTCATCAGCAGCACAGCTCCGGCACCGTCGCTCACTTGGCTGGAATTCCCAGCTGTAGTGGTACCACCCTTCTTGAAGGCTGGCTTGAGCTTAGCGAGGTCAGCTGCAGTAGCCCCGGGACGAATGCCATCATCAACGCTGACAACGATTGGCTTCTCATCTCCAGTCTTGGGATCAACGATCTGAAGGACAGCAAACCGAGTGAATCTAGTCATGACCTGCAGCATGGTCAATGCATGCATTGTAGCTACAATTGATTGATAACACCTACCTTGGTGCTGATGGGGACAATCTCATCACGGAACCTTCCAGACGCTGTAGCTGCTGCAGCCTTCCTGTGAGACTTCACCTGCAGAAACAAACGTTGTTATAACATCAGCATCAACCTCATTCCCGTTGACTTAACCTGCAAAGCATATTGAAGACCCCAACTCACAGCAACATCGTCTTGCTCCTGCCGATTGACTCCAAATCGCTCAGCCACATTCTCTGATGTGATCCCCATGGGCAGAAGGCAGTCCTGAGCCTTTTGGTTCATCTCAACCTGCACTCACCATTAACGCGAGCTTAGGAACGTTCGCTGCAACTGGATTGACAGACTGCACATTGTTATTCACTTACCTTGGGGTTGACGCTTCCTTCCCAGGCCATGGGATTTACCGTCATAGATTCCAGCCCAGCACCAATGCCTGCTCACGAGTTGAATTAAACAACTTGTTTCAGCCTTACATGTTCGTATTCTTTTCATAAACCGAGTTCTCTAAGAATGGAATGTCCGTAACCAGCGACGACTGCAACTTCAGATCGCTTACCGATTTTGTAGTATCCAGCCTTGATAGACGCAGCCACGTCGGCAACCGCTTGAAGACCAGACGAGCACTGCCTGTTCACCGTCCTTACCGGCACGGTATCTGCAGGGGAAGATATATGCTCATAGTGCTGTTAGACAGGAAAAAACCACTAATCATATGGAACAAACTGCTTGAACCTTCGCTCACCAGGAAAGCCAGCGAAAAGAGCAGCCATCCGGCATTCGCTCGCTCTTTGGCTGCCAGGAGCAAGAACCGTTCCCACAATGATATCGCCAACTTCCTCTGGCCTCACTCCAGCCTCTTCGACAACAGCCTGGTTAGCATGAAAGACACTAATGTTAGGCTTGCAGCATGGAGAGAGAAGTTTGTGCTAGGTATAATTATTCTCGAATTACATGCATAGTAATCTCCGAACAACCGCAAGCGATTAACTGTGAAGGGTGTCCTTAAACACTGACCCTGAGCACCGGCGCCAGGATGTCATCCGGAAGGGTGTCCTTGAAGCCGCCACGCCTGGCCTTAGTAAGGGCCGAGCGACGCGCACTGTAGACCAGCCAGAAGACGTCAGTCAGAAAATTGGTAAGCGACAAGCTATCATCGTCAATTCGACGGAATCTCTATGAAGGAATTTCAAAAGAGGAGGGTAGAAACCCGACAAATCTCGAGCGTTTCCTGAACCCCACCTGACAATAACGACATCGTCATCATAGCCAGCCGTGCGAGCGTACGATGCGCTGTCACCAGCCAGGCACGGCGACGCAACCTGCGTAGCACAACTTCCGTGAAGTCAACTCGGTTTCCAACTAACGGCACTACGCGAACCACAACGAACTAAAGCGTGTAAAGCTTACCAGATCAGCTCGCTGGAAAACCGGACCAGGACTCAAGTGGTCGGCGATAACCTGCTGCCTAAGACGAGCCTTCTCCATGATCGCGAAAATAGGGCAAAGAGAGAAGGCAGCTGATGGCAAACCAGCGACTGACAATCAATAAGCGATTGACTGAACAACGGAGCTTTGAATTTGCTATGCTTTATGAAAATCCCAAGTCTCGTTGAATGCTTGTTCTGAGCAGGCAGCAATTCAAGCAGATGAGGCAGATGGAGATGTCAGCCAGCATAACAGTCTTCAAGGACACCCTTCCGGATGACATCCAGACCGCTTGCAACCGTTTCGTACAGTAACACCAGGCAAGCCGCCAAGCGAAACGGGGTCTTAGCTTCTGCAGTCAAATCAGTAGGGAGAAACAGTTTTTTTGCCGTCAACACGTGCGAGTGATGACTTGGTGCCCTTCTAGAGGCTCGGAGCCAAAACAGGCAGCTAAACCAAACCAGTCATCCGAACCTGCTGCGAAACAGAACATTTTCGGGCTAGCTTAGATACGCAAATCAGGCAAGTAAGCTGCCCGAGGCAAAACAAAATTACACCCATAGGGGCCCACATGCCATTTCGGGATGGGTAAACCCTAAACTCGCGGAGGTATGTTTCGTGGGGTGGGTTCGGTATAGCTGGATGACGGGGTTAGACTGCCTCGGTATGTTTCAAACGTATAGAAACGCTCCATGTCATCATGACGGCAGCAGCAATTATTTGCCTCACTGATTTTGCTGCAGAAGCTAAAACCCCAAACGAAACTGGTGGTTTGGGCTTGGGTCAGGCATCAGGAAATGAGGACGGTGCAACACGTGGATTCGGGACAGCACCAGGGCAATGTGACGTCATCCTCAGTTCCAGGAACGCTCGCTCCGTGTCAGTTGTGCCCAGGCTGAGTCAGCAGTTAGCCCAAACGAGCCCCAAGGCTGCCGTGGAGCTTACCCCATTATGGCACATTGGTGGTGCACATAATTCATACCCAGCAAGTTTTTGTCACAAGCTAAGCTACCGAATCTCATTGAATTAACCATTTCTCCACAAAGAGTAAAACGCGATACCTGATATTGTGGAGCAATTTTACGCTTATTTATTCATTATTACGTTTGCCAGCGTTTCATCGACCATTTGGGTGAAGCATCCTGGAGTACCTGTGATTTAACATGGGTGAAACAAATAAATGCAACTGAATCGCACCAAAAACGGTTCAGTAACGCGGACAGATCAAGGTAGGATGGCACTGGCGGAGGGAATTTGGCCAGATAAGTCAGACCACTGAAAGCCACACAAGAGGGGTAGTGGAAGCAAATATTTACTAGGAACTTTGGAGCAAATAGCTGACGGAAAGGATATATTTCGTCAATGTTTTTTCCTCTGGATCAATCTTCTAGGATTGCTTCTCTATGAACCGTTTTCTACTTGTCTCGACCAGTTTCGCGAAACTGAACCTCTAGTCGCGAAATTGCTCGAAACTGATCGAAATCCGGTAATCCTGACGCCATGGCGGTCGATCGGACAGAGGACTATCGCGATGCGGTGAAGTCTCTCGCGGTGCGGCTTGGGTACGATCAGGTGCGCGGAATGTGAACACTACCACTTTCCTTTCTCTCTCCTTACATTCGTACATTCCCACCTCACCAAATTTTCTGGGCGCCGTTATTGCCTTTCTTATGGCAGAAGCCCCAGTCCAGCCCTTCCCCCTCTCCCCATCATTCCAGGCTCTTCTGGCGCAGGCCTCATCTACCATGATGCTCAAACACCAACCCCCTCTTTACCCTAGTCCTCCCCTCCCCCTTCTCCCCTAGCTCCCCCCCCCTTTTACCTTCCCCCCCCCTCCTCCTCTCTCCGTTTTCAGGCTCGCCTGGCGCAGGTCTCATCTGCCATGATGCTCAGACGCCACTTCTTTCTTTTCCCCTAGATACCCTACTCTCTCACCTCCACCACCTCCCGCCACCGCCTCTGCTTTATCTCCTCTCTTCCCCTTTCCAGGCTCGCCTGGAGCAGGTCTCATCCGCCATGATGCTCAAACACCATCCCCCTGTTTACCCCTACTCTCCCCCCCCCTCCCCCTCCCCCGTACCTGCCCACTCTCCTCCGCTTCTCCCTTTTCAGGCTCGCTTGGCGCAGGTCACATCTGCCATGATGCTCAAACCCACCTCGGGGGGAGGCGAAGCTTCCACAAAGGACGCCTTCGCCAGGCTGGCATCTGACGTGGTATGTGTGCTTAGGTAGGGCGGGGAGAGGGCGGAAACATGAGGAGGAGGAGGAAGAGGAGGAGAGGGAGGAGGTGCAGGAAGACGAACAGGCAAGTGCATCTGGGGAAGCGGTTGAGTTGGGAGAATGGGGAAGACGCGGGGGGAGAAGAGTAGACGGGGAAAGGGAATGGGAAGAAAGTGAAGGAAAGGGAAATGATTGTTGGGAAGGTAAGTGTGTGGAAAGGGAGTAGGAGGCGGTGTGGTGCGGTGTCATATAGTTGGGTGGTTTTCTCTTCAGGTAACTGATGCGACTGACCGCCCTACCTCCTCCCCTCCGAAATATTATCATCTTGCCCTGATGATCTTCTGGCTCTCAGACGAGCGTTCCCTGCACGCTCTCTGAACGACCAGGGACGGAAATACTACGATGCTTCTACAAGGCATGTGCTCGTAAGTGCCGCAATTTCCCCCCCCTCCCTCCTTTCCCCCTCCACCTCTCCCATCTTCCCCCCCATCGAATTCAGCTGTCAGACGAGCGTTCCCTGCACTCTCTCTTACTGACTGAGGGGCGGGAATACCTCAATGGTGCAGCAAGGCATGTGCTCACAAGTTCTCCTCGCCCCCCCTTTCTCGCTCCTCCCCTCCTTGATATTCAGCTCTCGGACGAGCGTTCCTTGCATTCTCTCTTGATGGCTGAGGGGCGGGAGTACTGCAATGCAGCATCGGACCATGTGGTGGGGCATGGGGCCATGGAGAGACGGCGAGATGCGTTCGAAGCAAAGGTACAAAAAGGAGGAGGCAAGGAGGCAAGGAAGGAGGCAAGGAAGCGAGGAAGTGAGGAAGTGAGGAAGTGAGGAAAGAGTGAGTGCGGGGACACAGGGAAGTGAGTGGATACGGGGAAGTGCTCGCCTTGCTCCTCCTCTCCTTTTCAATTCGCAGTGAGGTGACATGGGGTGCACTGTTGTCGTGGTTTATGCCAATCCTAGTTGTCCAACTCCCAGCAGTGCCCTGTTCAGGTGTATTTTGAGTCGACTCAAAAAGTGCCCTGTTCCCTCATTTCCGACAATCGTGGTCATAGCAGGAGGAGGGCGTGATGATGAGTGTTGCTGTGTAACAACAAGATATTAGAGCTATTAGAGCCTCTTTTTTTTTTCATGGGTGTGTGTGTGTGTGCAGTGCAGGTGGGGGGCATGGTGAAGAAATGCAGGCGAGGGATAGAAGCGCTGAGAGGCAGATTGCCCCCACCCAACAGGGGGAGCCATTAGGTGCTAATTTTCTCAGTTGCAGCCCTGTATTTCTTCCTTCTGCTCTCAACCCCTCTCCACCAACGTGGCTGCGTGCAGGTGGGGGGCATGGTGAAAGACTGCAGGGAGGGGATAGAAGCGCTGAGAGGCCGATTGCCCCCGCCAGGGGGAGCGACGGGGCGGAACGCCCAGATGACAGCGCATCAACATGGCATTGTAAGTGCGTATCGATGTTTGCCCATACAAGTAGCATGCTCCGCACAGTAATACCATGTGTGTGCGTGCAACCACCAGGGGGAGCGACGGGGCGGAACGCCCAGATGACAGCCCACCAATCAACATGGCGTGGTGAGTGCGTATCGGTGTATGTTAGCGAAGTTGCAGAGGCAGGGTGGAAGGGAGGTTAGCGGAATTGTGATCCCCTACTCCCGCTCCCCATACCCCTTACAGTGTTGATCCTCACCGAACTTCTCCACCCTCTTTGTGACAGTAATTTCGTTTCGAGACGTCTCAAAACGAGATCCTCACCGAAACTCTCCAGCCTCTCTCGTCCACCTTTGAGTGAGTGAGACATTGTAACACGGTGACCTTTGAGTCGACTCGAAAGTCCCCTCCTCCCGCTCCCCACACCCCTTTAGGTGTTGATCCCCCCCACGGAACTTCTCCAACCTCTCTCGATTTTGCAGGGTGTTTATTAGAGTTGGCAGATGCTTCCTGTTCATCTTCACCAAACTTCTCCAGCCTCTCTCGTCCACCTAGGAGCGACTGAGAGCCACCAGGCTGCAAAAGAAACGGTTATTCTGCTCAGTATCATCCCCCTTGCTCCTCCCCGCTCCCCCTCGCCTCGCATCCCATGACTGTCAGGTGCCGATGCTAAACGAGCATCTTCAGCTGCTTTCTTCCACCTTGGGCGGCTGAAAGCCACCATGTTAAAGTGAATGCTGGCGGAAAGCAAGGGACAGAAGTAGTGGCAGGGTGGAACTGCGCTTGTTTCTTTCCTCCTCTCATCTCATCCCCTCCAACCCCCCCCCCCCCCCCTCCCCCCCCTCCTTTTCCACAGGTTCTGATCCTCACGGAGCATCTTCAGCTGCTCTCGTCCACCTTCGAGCGGCTGAGAGCCACCCGGCTACAGCGAATGCTGGCAGAAAGCAAGGGGCAGCGGCAGGGCGGGGGGCTGAAAGAAGCAGGGAAAGGGGCACGGATACAGGCTCTCAAGGGAATACAGGAGAAGGGAGGGGGGCAGGCGTGGGGGGGAAGGGGATGGGAGAACGGAGAAGGTGGAAAGGAGGAGCGGCAAGCAGGGAGGGGGAAGGAGGAGCAGCAGCAGGTGGTGCATGATCCAGAGACCCTGGCGCTGCAGGAGGAGCTGGCGGACCTGCTGAGCAGCACGGCGCAGACAGAAGCGAGGGTGATGGAGCTGGCTGCGCTGAACCACTTGTTTGCCGTGCACGTCATGCAGCAGAGTGAGCAGATCCAGCAGCTATATGCCGAGGTGTGTATGCTGCTACGAGCTTGTGCCACCTGTTTGCCGTGCATGTCATGTCATGCAGCAGAGCCACCAGCGCCTTCCTCATTCTCTCCCTCTTGGGTCTTTTCCTGCCCTACTTAAGCACTTGTCCGTTTCAATCAATGGGCGGGCCTTAGCAGCATGGGAGTGAATAAGGGCAATAAGGAGCAATCAGGAGCTGAAGATGGCTGCAGCATATGTTTTCCTGAAGCTCCACTTTTTGTGTCCGTCCGTGCCCGTACCTTCCTCAACCACATACCTCCTCGTTTTCTCCATCCACCCTTCTCCACTGCTCGTCCCTTTCTGTCAACAGGCAGTGGCAGCGTCGGAGAGAATAGACAAGGGCAACAAGGAGCTGAAGAAGGCAGCAGCTCACGGCAGCAGCCACCGCACCTTCCTCATTCTCTTCTTCTTTGTGCTGCCGCTCTCGCTGCTGTTCTACGATTGGTACGACCGGCGACAGGTTGGATTCAGGCTGTGGTAGCATGGTGGTACGATTTGCACTGGACCAATATGCTATTTTTTTACCCCGTAGCATCTTGTTAGGATGAAATGCATCTAATCTAAGAGCACGCAATTTGTAGCCTCCCGTGATATGCAATCCAAGTTTGCACGTGGTTATATTGCACTGTATAGTCAGTACTTGACTGAATATCCTCAATAAGTGGCCAACCGACTAGAAATCTCCCGGGAAACATTCGTACGTCAGGTGCATTTCGGTTGATTAGAATTTCTACGGGGCACAACGGGACGGAGTGCGGTTGTTGTAAGCTCCGCCATGGAATACCCAAGTTCGTCCCCACGCAGACGCTCATGGGACGCACGCAACGGTCACTCACTGACTGTCCGAGGAGCTGAAAGAATTTCAGTGTACAGTAAAGCGGAGTTCAGATCGCGTTATGAAGTTCGGAAGACAAGTGATGTGATCATGTGACCAGATCAGGAGGTCACGCACCAACCGCATCAGTCAGCTCAGCAGACTCCTTGGTCTGCAGCAGAGGCGCAATGGCAGGCGATTCCGGGATCCAAGCGGCTGACCCCGGTGTTGATGAGGCGACTCGAAGCCAGGAAATTCATTCCGATGCTCACGGCGAGTCGACTTCCATCCACCACCTGTCCGACGATCTGCTAGGTCGCATCTTCAGCTACGTTGGATGGGCGCCACGTGGCGATTCCTCGAATTTCAATCGCCATCAGCATCTGTCTGAGCATTCCCTTTCTCCGTCGCTAGGGTTTCGCTATATTGGAGGGAGCCAGAGTCGAGTGCTGATAAATTCGCCGGACAATCCATTTTTAGAGAATCATCCCTCTTGGGGCTCCCCCTGGAGATCGTCAAGCTCGGAATCGACCAGTCGTCATCTTCGCGGTTGCTTCATCGTCGCTTGTCGCCGATGGCATCGCGTTGCATGTGCGACTCTCTCGCACGTCGCCTTGCCGCCGAAGCGACGACTGTGCGCGCGACGCCTCTTGAACGGCCTCCCTTCCTTCCCCTCGCTGACGTCACTCACCTTGCCAGATGCCAGCCTCTCATTGGCCAACGACCATCTGCTGACTCAGTTACCTGCCACGTGTCCGCGCCTCGCTCATTTCCACCTTGGCGACATGGGCGAGCCGCGATTGGCGAGTTCCAGGTACTTACCTCGGACTAAGGGGCCTCATCGCGATCCGCTGCATTCCGTCACCGCTGACGGGCTGGCGGTTTTTTTTTCATCCTGCCCGCGGCTCGAGTCTCTGCTGCTCCGCTGCCCGGACGTTCTGACTCTCCTCCCTCCGTCGATCTGCCAGCTAAGCCGCTTGACGTCGTTAGTCATCATCGCGTCGGGACTGACGCACCTCCCTGACGGATTCTGTCAACTCTCCGCTCTCGTCCGTCTGTCTATCCGTTCGGAGAGCCTGAAGAAGCTTCCGGCCGGCTTCCCAACAGGCGCGGACGATGATGACGTGAGCCGCCGGGACGATTTCAACGGCTCAGATGCATCCTCGCCATCGTCGTCAGAGGATGAATTCAGTCACAGCGACTCAAGTCAGGAGCGGATGAATCTGGACGATATCCGTCACGGATTCCGTCACAAGAACGACAAATCTCTCTCGCAACCCCTCCCCACGCCCGCCTCCCTCCCCTCCCCCCTCTTTTCCGCCCTCCGCCATCTCTCCCTCTTCTGCTGCGACTCCCTCCGCGCCCTCCCCGCATCCCTCCCCGCCGCCCTCCCGCGCCTCGAGTCCCTCGAGCTCCGCGAGTGCAGGAACCTTTCCGCCATCCCCCTGCGCCTCCCCGCGCGCCTCCCCCGCCTGCGCGCGCTCACCCTCGCCTACCTCCCCGCCCTGCGCGCCTCCCTGCCCGCGCTCCTCTCCGCAGATCCCCCTTTTGGGGGAGGCGCAGCAAGTCTCCCCCCTGGGGGGGTTACAGAAGCGGAAGCAGGAGGCGGAGGCTCGGGGGAAGTCTCGGGAGGGGCAAACTGGGGAGAAGCTAACGAGACTGCTTGTAGAAGGGACAAGAGTATGGGATTGGAACGTCTAGAATTAGTCAGCTTGAGGCGATTTAACAAGATACCAGGGGATACTCTCGCCTCCTTATCTCTCTCCCTCACTCACATCACCATAGCAGACTCCCCCTCTCTCTCCTCCCTGCCAGACGAACTCTTCCTCTTGCCCAACCTCCACTCCCTCGCTCTCTCCTCCCTCCCGCTCCTCTCCTCCCTCCCCCCCTCCCTCCACCTCCTCTCTCACTCCCTCCATCACTTGGAAATCAAATCTTGTAAGTCCCTGGAGAGTCTTCCCTCCTCCCTCACCTCCCTCTCCTCCCTCCGCTCCTTGCACATGAGTGCATGTGGTTTGATCACCCACCTGCCTTCCCATCCTGCTGACGTGCCCAATGAAACAGCTGCGGCTGTGGGAAACAGTAACTATGGCATCACCTGCACCCCTCTCAACAGCAGCAGCATAAGCAGCGGCAGCGGCAACAAGGGGGATGGCGGAAGCAGCAGCAGCAGCAGAAGCAGCAGACGAGAGACATCTGTCTCCTTCCTCCCATCGCTCACCAGCCTGCGCATCTCTCACTGCGACCGCCTACTCGCCCTGCCTCACTCCTGGCAGTGGCTGCCGTCCCTGCAGCAGCTGGAAGTGGAGGACAATACGGGAATGGAGGCACTCTTTGAAGGGGACAACGTTGTGCATCAGATTCAGCTGGCCTCCCGATCCTTGTCGCATGCAACTGCTTCTGGTCGCCCCTCCCTGCCGCCCACCGTTCTGCATCCCACCGCACCGTCCCCTCCCTGCTCCCCCTCCCCTCTCCCCTCGCTCCGCTCTCTGACCGTATCTGGCTGCCCCGAGCTCTCCCTCCTCCCTTCCTTTCTCCCCCGCCTCCCCTCTCTCCGCCACTTGACGCTGCTTCGCCTCCGCTCCCTCTCCCTCCTGCCTCCTGACATTCCTCCCCTCCCCGCTCCTGTAACCGGCACTGCTACTATCACTGGTACTGCCACTGTATCCACCGATGGCATTTCAACTGGCACTGTGACTATAATTGGCACCGCTATTATCACAGGCTCTGCTATTGTGACTGGTCCTGCCACTATAAGTGGCACTATGTCTGTTACTGGTACTGCTACTATAGCCAATGTGACTGCTTCTGTTGCCAGCACTGCTAACGTAACCAGCACTGGTCCTATAACGGGTACTGCTGCTGGGAAGGGCGACGCTGCTGAGGGTAATGCTGCAACGGAGAACAGCCAAGGTGGTAATTCTGCTGCTGAGGTAGAAAGGAGTTCTGGTGGGTTGAGTGCAATCCAGGAGTTGGGTGGTATGAAAGCGCTGGTCTCACTCCATATTGACCTTGGGAACAACACACGCATCACACACCTCCCTCACTCCCTCTTCTCCTCCCTCCCCTCCCTGGCCTCCCTCTCTCTCTCACGCCTCTACCACGTCTCCTCCATCCCCCACTCCCTCTCCCTCCTCGCTCCCTCCCTCACTCACTTGCACATCGCTCATTGCCCCCTGCTGGCCTCCCTCCCCTCCTCCCTCTGCCTCCTCTCCTCCCTGCAATCCCTTCACATCAAAGATTGCAAGTCTCTAGTGGCTATTATACAGGAAGTTTCAGGAGATACGGGAGCGGAGAGGGAAAAGGATGAGAAAGAGGAGGCACTAGCAGGGGAGGAAAAGTATGAGAAAAGGGAGGCAGGAGCGGTGAAGAAGCAGAGGGAGGAGGAAGAGGAAGAGGAGGAGGAAGAGGAGGAGGAACAGGTGGAAGAAGAGGAGGAGAAGGAGAAGGACCGAGTGGGAAAGAAGCGGAAGGAGGAGGGCGATTTGGCAAAGGAGGAGGAGGAAGAGGGGGTGGAGGATGAGGGGGAGGAGGAGGGGCGAGTGGTGAAGAGACCAAGGATCTCCAATAGGAGGTCTGCAGCACTAAGCCTCTCCATGGCCACAATGCATTCGTTACAATCACTCTCCATAGAAGAGTGCGAGGCACTTACACGCCTCCCGTCAACCCTCAGCCTTCTACCCCGCCTCACCGCTCTCCACCTTTCCATGCTTACAAAGCTCGCCACTCTACCACCATCCTTTCCCCTCCTCCCCTCACTCACCTCTCTCACTCTCAACTCCTGTGATCTCCTCAGTTCTCTCCCTCCCGTCTTTGGAGCGCTCAGCAGTCTGCGCGTCTTGAAACTTTTGAACCTGCCCAGTCTTGCTGCCCTGCCCGATTCCCTCGGGCAGTTGCCCCGGTTGGAGGAATTTACCCTGAAATGCTGCAACCTGCTGCTCAACCTGCCTGACTCGTTTCCCCGCCTGCCCTCCTTGTCTAAGCTCTGTATCACCAGCTGCCTAAGGCTTGAGCGGTTACCAGCTGACCTTGGGTTACTTTCTTCGCTGGAATGGTTACAGCTAAGAGACTTGTCAGAATTGGTGGAATTGCCTAACTCTTTGAGTGAGCTGCTGAGGCTTTGGGAAGTGGAGTGCTGGTACTGCTTTGGAATGAAAGGTTCTCTGGATTGGCTGAGAGATAAGCCTGGTTTAGATTTGATAGTGGGAGGGTTTGAAAAATCTTGGTGGTTCAAACACCTGGCTTAGAATAGAGAGAATGTTTGTCAGGTTGTAATGCTATATTCAGTGTTATTTTCCAAGCTGGATGTATCTCTCAGAACGGAATAATACTAGCCTCTTAAACTTAGGACGCTAACTTAGCTAGGATACAAGGAATGCCGCCATGGAATGGCGTGAGGAAAATAGATCTAGGAGCGGGAGAGAGAATGTCGAGAAAGAAGGGGTTCGATTAGGAAGAGAGAGGGGTACAAGGAGGGGGATTGTACCCTCTACAGAAAGGTTCAATAACAACTATCAAGCCTATCAATTATATATTACTTATATAATCTTGACACACCCCCTAGGCTTGATAGTCACACACCCACCCAACACACCACACACAAACACACACACCCTAGTCTAGCACCCCAATACTCAGCAACAGCCACGGCCATTCCAGCATGGCCAACCTCACGGCGCGAGAGGCGGGGCGACGGTGCAACAAGGGCTGCGGGGACACCGTCAGCATCGAGAGCGGCATCGACAGCGGCGGCGGCGGCGGCGTGCGGCGGGAACGCCCAGCGGCATCAGCGGCGGTGCAGGGCCCGCAGTACTCGGCGGCGTGGCCGGGTTCCGCGACGGTGGGACGGCCGGTGCAAGGCAGCCGTAGGCTGTGGCGAGTAAAAGGGGACGCAGGGGATGGGGGCAGGGCTGCAGCAGCACACGGTGTGGCGCGTCAGCGTGCTGGCGTGCTGGCCAGTGCTAAGGCCGAGCACTGGCCGCATGTCGCCACAGCAGCACGTCGATACGGTCGCGGGGGTACGACACGACCGGGACGACGTCAGCGCAATGCCATGGTTGCGCGTCGAGACGGCAGCGGCAAGACGGCGCAGCCGGCGACAAGACGACGCCGCCACAGCGTGACGCCGCCGCGGCCGCCATGGCAGTGTGAGGAATAGGAGATGAAAGTGTAGCGGAAGCGTGAGGAGCAGGCCCGCTAGGAGCGGACGGCTCTGATACCATCTCAGAACGGAATAATACTAGCCTCTTAAACTTAGGACGCTAACTTAGCTAGGATACAAGGAATGCCGCCATGGAATGGCGTGAGGAAAATAGATCTAGCAGCGGGAGAGAGAATGTCGAGAAAGAAGGGGTTCGATTAGGAAGAGAGAGGGGTACAAGGAGGGGGATTGTACCCTCTACAGAAAGGTTCAATAACAACTATCAAGCCTATCAATTATATATTACTTATATAATCTTGACAGTATCATGTGTCCCGTGTCCCATGCCCCCTGCCCCGTGTCCCCTGTCCCCTCTCCCCTGTCCCGTGTTCCGTGTCCCGCCCCGTGTCCCGTGTCGTGTGTCCGTGTCCCCTGTCCCGTGTCCCATGTCCCGTGTCCCGTATCCAGTGTGTTAGAAAGAGACAATGAATAGACTAGTGTGAGAAACCTAGAACATGTACCTGTTGGGGTTGTACTCACTAGAAGCACACACCTAGACTAGCCTATAACTTCTACATACACCATATGTATAAGTTGACACACCCCCTAGGCTAGACAAGGGGTGGTGCTAAGCAAGAAGCACACATCTCAGGGTGGCACTACTAGTCCAACCACTGAGGTAGGGGTCCTGAGATCAGTCAGCAAGAGTACAAGCAAGACTAAAGCAAGCCAGGGCGGCACTACTAGTCCAGCCACTGGAGGTAAGGCCACAAGGCCAGTCAGACAGGTATATATAATAGAGAGTACACAATCAGGGTCCTAACAGGTGAGTAGCTACAGGAACAAGACCAAGCTGTACACAGTGCCGCTGATGATCTTTAAGCGCAAGCACCTTAGTAAAGATATCAGCTGTGTTGGCACCTGAGGCCAAGTGAACTATGCGGGCCTGGCGACGCTGCTGTAGCTCGCGCAGGAGAAAGTACCGCAGCTGGATATGCTTCGCTCTGCCCTCAAGCCGAGGCTCCTGACACAGGAGAATCATGGCCCTGTTGTCAGCATACAGGACCGGGGCAGAGCTAGGCCGCTCACCTAAGTCTGTGAGCAAGAAGGCCAGCCAGCGGAGCTCCTGTGCCGCCATGGCACCGGCGTAGATCTTGATGGAAATCGTGCAAATCTGGAGAGAACTAATTAGAGATTAAGTTTGACGATCTCAACAGAACATTGCGTGCAACTCAAGTAACTTCTAGAAATGAGCTTATACGCGTTGGAAAGGTCTTAATCTCTACTTTCCAGAATGGTAAAGCACGTTCATAACCAAGATCTGAGCCGCCGATTATGACGAAATCAGTGTGAGGGGATATTCTGGTAATTTGGCTAGGCAGCCATGAATCACCTAGTAAAAACGAGAAGGGAAGCAGTTCGATCTGGAAAAGTTCGAGTATTTGATTGTCAAACAACACCAACCCTCGCCCTGAACCAAACCCTAACACTCCCAAGTGCCACAGTTGCAACATCAAAGATGTTGTAGTGGGTATGGGGTAGTATGGGTTGGAAAGGTAACGAGATCAAACCTAGCCAACCAACCCAATTCTTTTGCCCAAATCCCAATAGCCCACAGCCAGCTAGAGCAAATCACACCACAAAACACTACACATTTATCACTCCCCCTTGCTCGTGCTGGGTGTGGCTCAACACCATAGGGCAAATGCCTTCACACCACTCCCCCTTGCCCATTGGTTGGGGCCACCCAGAGCATGGAGTCCGCCAAGGAGAGGAGCACCAAGACGCCGGCATCTGCTGCGGGAACTCTGTCATCATGGGGCTGCATCCCGAGCAAGGTCATGCACACACCATGACGCTCAAATGGAAGAGACTTGGTAAGAATATCAGCAGCCTGACGGTTGGTAGGGCACCACTGCAAAATCACCTCACCCGCAGCTACCATCTCCCGAATGAAATGACACCGGACCTGCATGTGTTTGGTGCGGCCATGCAAGCATGCATTCTGTGCAAGGGCAATGGCAGACTGATTATCCACAAACACAGGCACACCACCAGCATGATCATGGCCAAACTCCCCAAACAAACGCCTCAGCCAGACACCAACCTGAATGCACTGACACAGACTTATATACTCACTCTCAGTGGTAGAGAGTGCTACCACGGGCTGCCTCTTGCTCTGCCAAGAGATAGCTGCCCCATTCAGACAGAACACATACCCACTGTGGCTCCTGCGACTTGCGGAATCTCCAGCATAGTCAGCATCACTGAAGCCAACTAGCTGGACCTGAGACTGGGGCTGTGTTTGGAAGAAGATACCTGACGTGACACCACCTTTCAGGTACCTCAGCACTCTCTTAGCGGCCTGCAAGTGAAACATTTTAGGACAAGAGGCGACCTTAGATAGCTGTGAGACTGCAAAGGCAATCTGTGGCTGTGTGGTAGTACAAGCATACATGAGGGATCCCACAATGCTTTGGTAGAGCTTGACCAGCTCATCTCGCAGCAAGGGTTCATCCTCATAGGCATGCACATCAAAGCCTGTTGGGAGAGGAGTACGCACGGGGTTGGCCTCTGAGAGACCAAAGGACTGAAGCATGTTAAGAATGTACCTCTCTTGATGAATCAAGATACCACTCTCATCACGTTCAATTTGCATTCCCAAGTAGTACTTCACCTCCCCCAAGTCCTTCATGCGAAAACGCGAGGACAAGAACTCTTTCACTCGATCTAGCAAAGCCTTGCTAGAGCATAGGAGCAAAAGGTCATCCACATAGAGGAATAAGGAGATCCGCTCCTCATCTCTCACAAAGTGGTACAATGCAGGGTCACACTCAGATCTCTCAAACCCAAAATCCATGAGAGCCTCATCAAATTTTAGGTACCACTGTCGTGGGGCTTGCTTTAGCCCATAAATGGACTTTTTGAGGCGACACACTCGGTGAGACCCATCATCAAAACCAGGGGGCTGCCGCATGTAAAGCTCTTCCTCCAAATCCCCATGGAGGAAGGCTGTCTTGACATCCATATGATGGATATCAAGCCCCAAAGCAGTTGAAATTCCAAGCATACCTCTCAAGGTCGCATGCTTCCCAACTGGAGAGTACACTTCTTCATAGTGTACTCCCAATTTCTGCGTGTTTCCCATCACCACCAATCTGGACTTAGGCCTCTCAATGGTACCATCAGGGTTATGCTTGTATTTCCAAACCCATTGACACCTGAGGACCTCCAAACCAGGTGGTACCACGGCTGAATCAACCAGCTCAAATGATCCATTTACCTTGTGAGACTCAAGCTCCTCATGCATAGACTCAACCCATTCGGGACGGTTCAGCGCCTCATGGACTGACCTAGGCTCATGCACCTGACCCATTAGACACACATCAAGAGCATACTCATGCCCATGCATGTCCACAAGCATGCAATCATCCAAATCAGACACAAGATGATCATGCATGCGTGCAATGTGCCCCGGTGAAAACCTTTCAGGTGGCTGGGAAATTCGAGCACTGCGTCGCAGAGGTGTTGCCTCTCCTTCTTCCAGCCTCCGCAGCTTCTCCTCCCAAGTCACCCTCTTCATTGGAGTCCTTGGAGTCTTGGACAGCTGCTGGTTCAACAACTGCTGCCAACTGCTTCTCGATGGAGTTGAAGGCACATGCTGCTCCGGCTGATCATCACGCGCATCGGCCTGCGTGGCTGGCTGAGGGGTAGAATCTGTCTCTCGGGACTCCTCATGGTTAGGATCAGCTGGTTCTGGCTCCTCCTACTGCTCCTCCCCTTCATCTCCAGGGTCCTCCCATGCCCCCTCAAAGATAGAAGCCGTATGAGGGTCTTGAATGGAAGTCCCACTTTGGCTTGTACCATGCTCTTTCCACCCCTTAAAATTCAGCCCCTCATGGAAAATCACATCATGGCTCTCCATCACACGCTGGTCAGCTACACTCCACAGCACCCAAGCCTTGCTCCTCTCAGAAACCCCAAGGAAGATCCCCCACTGTGCCTTAGGATCTAGCTTCCTTCTTTGCTGGTCAGGTACCTTATACTGTGCCATGCACCCCCACACTCGTGCCATGGAAACATTCGGCACCTTCCCTGTCCATAAGGAGTATGGGCTCTTGCCTCCA